ATCCAAGCGTAGTCCGTTCTTCCACGTGCCGTGGTTAGGCTCGACCTTGTCGACCGGCTGTCGATCTAGTTCACGAAAGGCTTAGACAAGGCGCAAACCGATAGACTATGCGGCTTAGCTTCAAGTTGCTGCCATCTCTCGTCAGCCCATCAGAACGCATCTTCTGTTCTCAGGAGCATGCCTCAAAGTTGACGACAGGATGCGGTAGGTTTGTGGCATGTAGCAGCAGACTCAGTAATTGCCGAAGCTGGCGCCAATACAGACAAAAACTCTGCTCATACGGAAGGGCCCGCAACCAGGACCCTCCTTCGCCTCACTTTCATCTGTTTTTGAGGCCAACAACCCGCCGAACCAAAGTCTGCCAAAGGCGTCCGGTCTTGGAAGATAACTTTCGCGGGCCGGGGAAGACACAAAAGTGTATAGTCTGCGTGGCTGCTTACTTTACTGACTGGACCCTTTGTCCCGGACACCCGGACGAAACTGTTCTCGGTGAAGTGAAGTGGGGTTAACCCAGAAAGCCTTTCGTGAAGCGGGATAATGACCCGGGGTTCGTGGTCGACCGCTCCGGGGAAGGTGTCCGGGGAAGGTGTCCGGGTCTTCGGGCTGTCTCCGTCCAGGAGACGGTGTGCGGGGGCGCATATATTGACGTTAATTGGAGCTGGAGATGGAGCTGGAGCAGAGGTCGACGGGAACTTTGACATAAGTTGATTAATGATGAGTTGGCGTAGTCTACATTGTCCACTTCGTGCGTCGTTGGTCTGACGCCGGTCCGGATTGAGCTAGACGACCGTTGACGGCGCCGGACCCAAGAGAGTCTCCATCTCGATGCTGGGTTATCCCGTGGGCAAAAGCCGTCAAAACCGTCAAAACAACGGCCGCGGATGGAACTAATGGCGTGCACATCGATTGAGACTCGGTTCAAGTGAGTTGATGTTTTGAAACGAGTAAATTGACACGCTGTCCTGCTGAGTACGTAAAAGGATCTAAACCATCATCTGTATCACACCCAGAAGGAGAGGGGGAGTGGACGAATATGCAATCCACTAATCTCATACACCTCCCTTGCCCTATCTAACACAGCACACATGGAACCTGACCAGATCTCTACGCCAGACTGCCCATGGGATCCCACAGCGGCAGCACAGTCGGCTCCGTCCCAATAACCCCGCGGACCTCCTTGCTCAGGAACCGCGGATCAACGACAGCCTGGTAGACAAACTCATCCATCCACGCGTCGCTCATGACGAACCAACCCTTATCGCCCGCACTCTCGCCCCAGCTATTCTGCACCCTCCACCGCACGCTCTCGCCGGTCTCCTCGTCGAGGTGCACAGCAGTCAGGACCATGGCGTGCGTCATGGCGCTCTCGCCCGTCCGGAGGCGGCTGGCCTTATCCATCCCCAACAGGGAGACGTTGAAGCCGAGCTCGTAGTCGATGAGGTCGAGGTCCATTACCCCCGCGGCAGAGTTGCTGAATTTCCCGACGTCGGAGCCGAAGAATACGGGGAGGCCTGCTTTGATCATGGATACGCAGGCGGATTTGAGGGTGGGCATGGAGACGTTTACGTAGGTTACGCCGCGGCCGCCTACAATGTTGCCGAGGCGGTCTACGGTCAGCAAGGTGAGGGGTTCGTGGCGCGGATCGTGGACGAGGGAGACCATGGAGTCGATTACGGAGGAGGTGATGCGTAGGTCTGGGGAGTAGATGTCGCGGGCGAAGGCCTGGGGTGTGGTTTTAAGGGTGTGCGGTTTGGAAGACTTGTCGAGGTAGGTCCAGGTGAATTCGTCGCGGGGGTTGGGGGGCGGGCCGAGGGCGAGGGTGAGGATGGAGAGGATCTCGCGCATCATTTTCTCTTTTGTTGTCGTAAGGGTCTCTGCTGTGGTGGACGGGGAAGATTGGACGAGCTTGCGGAGGATGAGGGCGTACTCGCGGAGCTTCGTCTTGACGATGGAGTTGAGCACACCAGAGTTCATAGCGTTCCACGAATCCGGGTACAGCGCCTGCGGGACGAGGCCGTACTTTTGAACCAAGTTATAGACCATGTCCCACTGCCCGCCATCGCTCACGATATCGCCCAACAGAGCCTGAACGAGGCGTCCGTCGAGATCTTCGCCCGCGGCCACGGTGTCGATGATTTGCTCGAGAAAGTAGTTTGATTTCTCGAGCTTGTCCCAGAAGAAGAGGTAGGACTGGGAGAGCTCGAACGAGTCGAGGGCGTAGCGGCGCATGAGGGCGACGCGGAAGACGTTTGTAGAGGCGAAGAGCCAGCAGCGGCCCGAGGAGCGCTGGTTCGTGATGGGACCGCCTTCGAAGGGGATGCGGGTGTTGAAGATTTGGGGGTCGGCGAGCTTGGTTGCTGTTGAGGTTAGGACTGTGCGGGGGTCTGCTATGCTCAGGGCCGTGAGGGCGAGTCTACGGAAGACAGCGAGTTAGCTTTTTTGTGTCCTTTGGTATCTGAAAGGATGGGGCCCAGTGAGTATGTACTTGTTCTTCGGGTCAGCGAGGAACCTCGACTGCCAGGACTGCGTCTGTTGGACGGGGAGACCCTCTGGCTCGCGGACGAGTCTGATGTCGCGCTTCTCGTCATCGCTGCTGCCGGAGGCGACGTTGACGAAGTCGTCGTCGGTGACTTGGAAGCGGCGGAGGCGTTCGAGGAGGGCCTTTTCGTTGGAGGTGTCGACGGCGGGCTTGGATGCTTGGGAACCCATCTTGGCTGCTTGACTCTGTCTTTCGGGCTAGATTGAAGTAGAGCTCGACGCTGAAAGTGAAGCTATTCGAAAAGCTATGTGTAGAAAGTTGAGAGCTGTAAGACGACGGGATGTCACAGATGTCGACCGTATTGCTGCAGAAGAGAAACACAATCACGCAATCGTCAGGGATCAAAAAGCTTAGGGGGTAAGACGGAAGCTCAGATTCAAATCTAGATCCCGATGAAGCAGGCCGGGCTGCGGTTGTGGTATTTAAGACAAAGGAGCCGGTAACACGAGTCGTAGACTAGAACCCCCCGCGACCCCTCACACCAACCATCCTTCGTTCCGATCCGCCTGATACCGAGCAAATGCCACAGAGAAGGGGGTATAGTTGTCTCTCCGGGTTGCTTCGCTTGTGCTTGCTAGTTTTCTAGGTAGGGAAGGTCATGAACAAGCTTCCCGGGGTAAGGTTGGGTGTGCGGTGCCCGCACTTGCGCGTCTCTCTTCTCTGTCTCACTCATTCTCTTATCAGTTGGAGTCGAGTCCGAGAAGGGATGGAGGGGTCGGCGAATGCTTTAACGTGCTTTATGGGGGAAATCCAGCCATACAGCGGCGAGGATTCGGGGAACTTTGGGGTTGGGTCGACAGGGATTAGGTGCCCACGAGGGAGCGATTGGAGAGTCACGCACCCGTAGACCGGGGGAATGGGGAACCATCAAGGTGCTTGCTCTGATATGGAATGTCGGAGAGAGAGGAGCACATGATGAGGTGGGCTTGAGGGGATTGATTGGGTTGTTTTGTCGTGTTCTTCAGGTTGGTGTGAGTTTTTTGAGTGATGGCGACGATTGATGCGGAAGCACGCCATGGGGATCCACGATTGTCAAGTGCAGAAACGCTGATTTACGTGTGCATCTTTGTTGCAAGGTATTTCTCGCCTATGGGATCTGATTTCCAGATGAGCATCGGCTGCTTCCGAATCCTATTGGGCTTGTGTTTCGAAGGGGATACCTTGACCTACTCCCTCTTCCCGATGATTGAGAGTTGGTACCTCAAATTTGGCGTTACCAACAGCCTCAGACTCACAGAAGGCGGGAAGCAGCAATTATATTTTTATAACTTTGGGAAACAGGTCAAACTTGATCAAGAAACGCGTGGGAGATAAGCCCAGTACTGCCATCGAGTCCAGATTCGTGCGCGGCGATACGGAGGCTCCACCAATGCCGGAGGTCCAGAAGAGGACCGGGAAAAGCGGGGCCGAAATACGTTGCCGTTTTAGGCATCTATCACGCCTGGAAGCTTGCGTTGAACATGAGCTGTTGATCCTTCGATACATCTTATGCATCTTTTGAGTCGGGTTTTATCCATGCATCAAGGTGCCAGGCTTTAGTCGGCCAGAGAGTGTGGAGGAAGGTAGCTGTAAGGAGACGAGTAAGGTTAGTATAGACAAGGACTTGGGACTTTGATGAAGGTAGAGCATGATAACGTCTTGTTTGTAGGAAGAATTAGGTCTCATAACACAATGGTCAAGGAAGCGCGGCGGAGGAGCAGGAGGATGAGGAGGTGCCCAACCTAACTGGTAGGAAATCACGCTGTGTTAAACAACTACGTCTGTCCCAGCAGTCAAGTCCCCCTGACGAGGTGTTTGTGGAGGGCCGCGATATTGATGCTAGTCCTGTTCCTTCAGTCCAGGAAAAATCGGACGTGGCGACATCACTGAGAGCCATGGATGCTTTTTTCTAGGCAAAATGCGACTCAGCAGTTGGCCACAGCAATCGTCATTGAGGCGACTCATGTCTCGATATGAGGAAGTCTATACCTGATAATCTCAAAGCCGAGGCGTTTCCTCTTACGTTTACTCTTACTGTGTGACCTAGAAAGGGACTGAAGAGTGGTTCGGAGTGAACGTAATAATCGTTTGCTGAGAAGATCGTCTACAACTCATGTCATTCTGTCTGAAGAATCCCTTCCTACGTTAACACAGATCAAACTCTAGAATTCAGTTTTCTTTGCACTTTACATTGATGGTTTGGTTTTCGTTTGACTTTGACTTAAATACTGGCTAGTCAACCTTCAGTCTTTTGACCAAGGTAACGACAAGCAGGAAACATATTCAGAAGCAGCACTACCAGTAGACCGGTGATAAGATATGTGTAAAAAATCAAAAACATGACTCAATGGAATGATATTGATCGCCACAAAGATTGGCTTCCCCGAGATTCCCACCAGGCGTACAGCATACCCCGCTCAGGTCATGAGCACCATCAAATCAGTTGAACAAGCCCTGCCATACCCTCGAAACCCGATCCATTTCCCCCAAATCTGGTTTTGTTGCAACCTTGAACGCAGCTATTGCTTCCAGCTTTTCTGTCTTCACCTGTCTCCTTTGTGGTGGGTATGCTACCATGCCAAATTAGCACTAGGTCTTTATGGCATATCGGTCTCCGAAAAGACCATTTCAACTGCGAACCTGACAGTGCTTGTTGCGAGTCGATAATCCCTCGTAACTAGGGAGAGAGAAATATGGCTTTCAATCTCTCAACGCTACCAGCAAGCTCAGCGAACGCTACTTCTGTTTTTTCCTTTGCGTCTTCGAGCGCACCTTCTTTGTCTGCCTGCAAAAGTGCCTCGAGCTCGTCTTGCACTGTATGACTCGCATCAGCATGTGCTAATATCATGCTAGAGACGTCCCACATCGCGATAACTCACCTTTCTTGAAATTGGTCTTGACGGGGTTCAACTTCTTCAGTATATTATCTTCGTTAGAGTTGCGCGAGCCTGCTCGCCTTTCTTTGTATGTAGTTTTGCAGAATCCGAAGAAGATTTTTTGAGCCAGGAGTTTCTCCTCCAAGCTCTCAACATGGATATTCTTGTAACCTTTCTGTTTCTCTCCTTCGAGGAAGTCCAAGGTTGCACTAATGATTGCATCGCAGTCATGCATCAGAGTTTCTGCGCTGATAAGAGGTTTTCCCTGATGAATAGACGCCATGATTATGGAAGCAAGTGATTATGACAGCTTTTTTTGTGGAAGTCAGTCAAGCTGCTTGATGAGGGAGGTTAACTTATAAGTAGGTCTCTATATCAGTGGTCACCCTCATTGCTTTGGTATAGACAAACTTGGCACAAAGAAACCTGTTCACAAGATTGGCGCCGTCCCTAAGCTGTCTGCCAGCTCCTCTTGTCATAAGCCGAGATAGACGAGCCTGATAGCACCTGCTGATTGTTCATCGAATCACTTTCGTCCCCTTTATTGTCCATGTAGTGTTATGTTCAGTTATCTGATGGTTTGCCAACTTCAAGGATAGTGCGTATTTGTGTTTGCCAGTGACCTCAGGGGCGGTTTCCTGATCCTTTGTACTTCATCAAAGGCCAAATTTCACTGTCCGGGTAGAAGAACAACGAGTATTGAAACATTTCTTCCTTGGGAGGAGTTGCTCTAGGTCTAGCGAATCAATTGAATGAATTTGAACAGATGCTGGCAGACGACCGAGGAGGCGAAGAGGCGACTGGCGGTGTCCCAGATTCTCCGAGCGTGAATGACATGTGGCGACTGCAGATACAGAAGATGTAGACGTGGGCCACGAGAAGCACGAAAGACCATGGAAGCTTCCTTAAAGTAAGGAGGCCATCGTCTCCGGAACTCATAGCCAGTCACCGGACCTGCTTACTGTTGGGATTTCGAACATGAGATAAGGTAGAGGCTGTCGAAGCTGGCCACTGGTACGAGAATTCGATGCATCTCAGCTAACGGCAAGTTACTTTGAGTACTTAGATACATTGCTTGGTTGGTAGGAGGCGAGATCTAGGGTGGTTGATCCCCGAGCAGCTCGAATGCATCAAGCCAAAGCGTGCTCTGGTGCTTTTCAAATATATTCTCTGGCAAAATCAATTATAACGATCACGATAAAGAATCAATACATCCCTCGCTATCACTACCGTCAAGCCCCTTTGACTGTGGATGGGGCAAGGCGCGCCGCCTATCCCGGGAAACCTACGTCCCCGGGCCCGGCCCCGGCATAAGCCTCAAGGACTAGGTTGGACTCATAGACTACTGCCGCGACCATTCTTGCGCAAATAAATCTCTTCCTCATTTGACTCAGAGCGTAGGTAGTCCTCTTAGGTCTCTCTTTCCTCCATCTATACCTCGAGATACTTCTCCAAGGAATTCGTATGGTCTTTAGCCGAGCTCATGGCAGTGCTCCTTAGAATCCGGCCCAGGTCTTCTTATCATTACACTTTTGTGTTGCCCAACGGTTCCAAAGTGTAGATTCGCCACCTAGGTAGGGCGCTGTCTTCCTGGAAAGGTATCGGTAGACCGAGGTAATATTGATATTGATTCGCTTCCATTCTTTGGAGAAAGCTCGAGCATAGCCACTTTGCTAGGAGCCATGGATGTGCAGGCAACTTGCGACTCCACACCTGGCCCCAGCTATAGTCTCTGAGAGAACTCGTTTGTCGAGGCGCGAAACCTACACTCCGCCAGTATTAAAGCCAAGACTTTTTTCTTGCTCTTTTACTTTACTACTATCTGTGTATCCTAGCAGGATATGAAAAAGTGTTCCGGGTTAGAAATGTGATTCGTCTGCTGAGATGGTCTTTGGAACTCTTCATTCCGTCTCATGAGCCCTTGCCTGCTTTCCCACAGATCTAGGTGCCTTACAGTCAGGAATCGCCTCACACACTTCATCATGATGAGAGGAGCCCACGGGGGTTTAACAGTGTTTACCTCTTACTTTCTACTTGACCAGCTGTAATGTACTGTAAAGTATACGCACCCAACCCGTGATATCAAGCAGCAATTGTTTGCGGGGTAATACTGAGAACGTCCGGTCGATGTAATGTGCTGAAGTAGACATGCCTTGGTGTAATGTGGCTGACCGCCATTGAGGTTGGCCACCCTGGGAGTCCCTTCGCTGGCATTGGCATACTCCATCCAAGCCGCGACCACAATGTGACGAGCTGAACAAGTACCGCAACTCTGAGCTACGTACCACCTTCTTTAGGCCTAGTTGTGTTGGGAAATGGATGCAGTGATTATTTACCAAGTAGATCGAGATGGCGAATCAGTCTTCGGAGAGTTGGTTGTCGGGAGAGTACATGTATGGAATAAGTTGAAGTTCCGAGTTGTTCGGGAGGACATTCTCTTCTGAATTGGAAGAGGGAAATAATTTCAGAAGATGGTTCATAGCACCCTCAAGCTTTTTCGACTCTTCAATCGTCTCCTGCTGTGCATATTCGTAGGACTCAAGTTTGAGGAGCTCATTTAACACTATTTTACTCAGATCAGCACTTCTGTAAGCTGATGACTTTTGAAGTGCTAAAGGCTCACCTTCTCTGAGAGTTGATGCAAAAAGCTCCAATGCTCTAAGTACATCATCTACCTTGGGTCTGAATGAACCTAGTTGCTGCCTGATTCGCCATCTCTCGATTCTCTTTTGTATCGCCGGCCAGGGTTTAAGCTGAGTCCCAACCGTATCTCGAAGTTCGAGAAATGCTAGAAAGCCCTTTCCCGCCTTGTGATCGAATGTGGTGAAAAATTCATCGCATTCTTTCATCAGTTTTGCTACCGAGTCAATCAATTCTTTCTGATCCATACTGGCCGTGAATATGGGACGAAGTGATGACGATAGTTTAACTTTGAAGATACGTGTAAATGGATCAGGACATATGGGAAGGAAGCAGGAGTGACCTATAAGTAGGCCAGAAGCCCTTCTCATTGCATCGGCCTGCAGATGACTGACACAAAGAGACTGTATGAACCTGGCAGCAAAAGGGCAGCACCAATATAACAAGCTGAAATCTCGTTGAACCGAGCTGTTCTTCCTGGATGTATGTTCAGTCTTTTGGAATTTGGCCGAATCCCAAAACATCCTTGTCACTGACCGGAGCCGCCTGTGGCGGTTTCTTGGTCCTTTGTACTTCAAGCAAAGGCCAACGTTCACTGTTCAAGAGGACAAGAGTATGACGAAAATCGAGGCGTGGTTTTCTGAAAGTCATTGCTTCAGGCTTAGAGACTCGGTGGGATGCAATTGAACAGATGCCAGTAAACGATTGAGGGGCCGGTTGTTGGTGTACCTGATGATTTGGATCTGAACGTCATGCGACACTGTCACAAGCACGCGATAAAGAAACCCCAAACATCTTTGGAGTTTCCCTCTGGAATATGAAAACCATCGTCCCCGAAAATACATTCAAGTCACTGTCTCTCTTTCCGTTCGCAGTTTTACAACAAAAAGAGGCTGTAGAGCTGACTCAATGGCTACTCGGGGTGCATTTCATGGAAGATAGGTTTTGAAGCACCTGTTCAGTGGAAAGCAGGTTAGGTCTGGGATGTTTGAAGTCTGAACACCCCTAAAGTCCAAGGCGAAAGCGTGTTTCAGTCCTTCCCAAAGATATTTTATGGCAACCCCCATCTGTGGCAACTTTGTCTTGATATAGGAACATCCTTTCCGTCGCTCTCAAGAAGCCCTTTTGGTGGTCGGTGGGGCTCGCTATAGGGACCGTCCCGGTGAACCCTCGCCCTTCCCCCCCCCTGGGCTTAGGCCCAAAATGAGCCGGGAGAGCTGAGCCGAGCCCGAAACCCATTGTCGTGGCCATACGTATGCCGAGAAACTCTTCCGGGTTCACTCAGAGCCGCAAGTAATTGTATCGCGCTTTCTATTCGTTACGATATGCCTCGGTACCTATAGGTACTTACTGGAATGAACTTGCGCGGTCTTTTGCCGCGCTGAAGGTAGTACTCCTCGTAATGCCTAATGTAAAATTCCCAGGAAACATCAACGGGTGTTATTATACTTGCATGTCATGGTGCTCCGCAATTTTCAAAGGAGGAATTGCCGATTTATGCGCTACAACTACTCACCCATCTTCAGCTGTTAGCTACCAGCTACTACCTTATGCCTCGGCCCCTCCGCTCTTCAGAACCGGCGACGATTGGGTAATGGATGTCATGTCAATGTTGACATCGTTGGCACGTGCAGCTAGAAGAGAATCCCGAATCAATCCCTCCTTGTTGTAGCGTTAGGAGGCAGATGAGACACACAAGCCAGAGCGTGAGAGATGGGATAAGCAAGATCTGTGTGCCGCGACCCGGGACCCCACCATGCACGGGAGGTCCGGGCTCGGATCGGTAAAAGAGGGTCCAAAAGCTACATCCGGCCGGGCCTTTGTTGGTTGCTTTCGCGAAAGCTTCAGACGTGTTATTTCAATGACATGACTTTTGAGAAGACTAACGCATGATGCAAGAGTATAGTGCGCGCTACTCCGTACTTCCAATCACATATGATTACACGGGGCGCCGTATTGTGTCGCGAGCACGCTCATTTAGTGCCTTACTCCCAAGTCACCCAGAAGAGAAGCATCCAGCAGGGAGATGGGAAGGTCTAGCTGAACTCATAAGCTCGAAGATCCGTTAACATGACAGAGTAGCTTGGACTGCATGATTGAGTGAGGGCTGCAAGTCACCGAACCATGGTCGCAGTAACTATTCTAAAAGGTGAACACCTTTCGATGAGCGGAAACTTGTCCTAGGAAGCGGGATGCTGGGATTTATGTCAGTATATACCTCGCTCTTATAGAATAGAGGGAAACCTTGGCTTATAAATGATGCTCGATTGCTGAGAAGATAGCCCGTAGGATGCTACAACCCGTTTCGCGAGCCCCTTCCTGCATTCGGTCTCAAGTGTCACATCTCGATGCGTCTTTTTCTCCTGAGCGGGACATGTTATTTGATAACCATGCTGTATGTTTCAACTTTATGATGCTGTTTTTCTTCATTTTTAGAACATAATAACTATGGCTATTTGTTGAATGAACGACAAGGTGAGCCACATTAATGGCAAAATCTATGCAGAAACCTCCTTAACCAAACGAACGAGCCGGAAAGCACCCCATTCCTCATAATCACTCTGTTTGGCGTGTGTCTGTTTCTCCCAGTTTCCGTGTATACTGAAACGCAGAAATCTTCCCCTGAGCCAACACGCGACATTCATTTCCGGGGGGCTGATTTAGGGACTGAAACTGGCGATGGGGATCATCGAGTCATCCTTAAAGGTAATGCCTCTGTCGGCAAGGGACTTAGGTGGGCCTAACCCAAGATTGAGATCGATATTTCTTAGCGATTGATATAACTCTGATCGGTGACCTGGCATATTCTCGTCTTCGACCATTTCCCTGTTATCAGCTGCTCCCGTAAGTATGTCTCTCACTGCGTTACCTCAATCAGCAATCTTTCATACTACTGTTTGACTTTTGCACTATTCTACCTTTTTTGAAATCGGTTAAAACGTACTCCAACCTCGCCTTCTCGAGTGTGTCGCACTGGTTTTCGTATAGTATCCTCCGCGTCTCCAAGAATCCCCACATAGGGGCCCAATTCTCACGATGACTCTCAGCGCATTCGAAGATCTTCTCGATGACTTTTCGGTAATCTTCTAAGAGAGTACTTGTAGTTTCGCTGCTGGATGGAGGAAATTCTCTTTGGGTCTCCCCGACGACTGCCTTAATTGCAACAGGAAGAGAATTCATTGTAGAAGCGTTGGTGGTGAGTTGTTAGCCTAGATACCTGGGAAGGAAAGATGAACCCTTTTGTATTCTAGAACAGGAGATTCATCTCGTTGCTTCACCCATAGTCATTCACGACAAAGAGGCATGTTCAGCGAAGGCCCTCAGCCGACCCGACTCGTCGCGCCGTTGACGGTCGAGCTTGAACGCACATACTGACCACCTGGTGGTCCATTTTGTTTTTTTCTCTTTGTCGACCAAGTATTGTTCTGAGCCAGGCAATCAGTCACCAGTTTACCGACGTAAGCGAGATGCTTGTTTGAGATCATCTGCGGCGGCTATCCCAATCCTTTGTGCTTCGACCCAAGATCCCGGCACGACGTTGACGGTCGGAGTTGCAGATGTCTGCAGTCACATGCAACGGATCTCTATGGTCATAGAGATCCCACAATTACGGAGATCCTAGGGTCACAAGCAAATATTCGTACCAAGGGACTGCTGGACTTTCTCAGCCTTTTTCGGCCACGATTCTTCTCCTTGTCCCTTAGCGCCTCGGTTTGACGCGGGCCCGAAAGTTCGAAAGGTACGGTGACGCAACAGCCTTGGGCCGCTCTAACCTTAACGGCATCACCGGCCATCTGCACGCCCGGATCTTGTGCTACACAACTGCAGTTTAGGATATATGGTTGGTGATGCGTGTGGACGGCGTATAAGGATGCCCTTTCTAGCCAAAGCTCTTTGCGCCTAAAGGGTCTTATTACAGGATTAACTTGAAGAGATACGTATATTCTAGAATCCATTCTTACTGAAGGTCAATTACGTACGGAGGTATTCGCAGAGGGTGAGCTTTACCAACAGCCTACGTGCCTATTTTAGGTAGAAGAGGGGATGATATCAGTAGGCTTGGCTGCCAGTTGTGCGCAGTCAATATATGTGCGCAGTCAATGTATGTCCGCAGTCAATATAGGTAAACTCAACAGTTAAGCTACGAAAGTTTTTAATAATGATAGTCTTTTTTTTGTCTTTCCGGTTTTGTACTTTTTTTTTCTTTTTCTTTTTGCCTTCCATAATACATAGGGCCATACGCTAAAGGAGAAGAAAAATACCCAGACGTCGTCCAAAGCCACTCGAACATGCTAAATCAGTCGAAAAGAACCGCACTCCTCGTAACCGCCCAGCGTCCGTTGACCAGAGACTCTTACATCTCAAGCAGAAAGCAGTCGCTTCTCAAGTTCGAGGTCGATTTCTTATGTTCGTAACTCGTTTGGTAAGCCTACCCGCGTTGTGGTCGCTCACCATCAAAATGAGACCAAGTCCCCGCGCCTGGATGATGATGATGATGACGGGTATGATTGATTAGAATCAAGGCCGTTCCGTCCATACGACTTTCTGCCGGCGGCGGGTATGCGTCTTTTGAAGTGTTGGCTCAGACATGCTGCTCGAACAAAACGCTCCGCAGGTGCGCCTCGCTAAGACGGCGAACGACACCCTTTTCCCATTCTGACGTGAAGTCGGCATACCTGAGCTGAATTTGTAGGAAACGCAATGGAATCAGTGTGAACAATGTCATGCCGAGTCGCGACCGTGGACCAATGCCCTGGGTAGTGTCCCTGGTGCGATCCTGACCGAGTAGCAGAATGGGATCCTTCGAAGTGGACTTGCCCCATGTTTCGTTTCTAAACGCAAATTCGGGATTCGGTTCGGTCATGCGTTTTACTGCATTACTGAAGTCAGCATTCGAAGCCGTCGACTTCGAGCCGTTGCGATGACTAACCTTCAACGAGATGAACGTAGAGAGAATCCAAGTCCATCTGCAAGTTTTTCGAAAGGATAGAGTTAAACCTCAAAACGTTGTCGAATACTTCCTTCCCCTCCGACACTTGCCCCTCTTCGTCGAGAACACCGATTTCATGACCCCACGCCAAAAACTCCTTCTGAAGCCTCTTAACGGTAGGGGTGAGATCAGGATGATCGTTCTCCCTTAAGATGTTTCCGAATGTTTCTGCGCACTTCTCGACTAGCTTAGATGCATCTGGGTGTCCAAAGCTGTATATGTGCTTGCTATTTGAAGTGGCCGTGAGCACCTGGTTCATGATTCTTGGGTCTATGTATATTGGATTCACAATTGACGAGTTCATTCTCGACGGGTCCATCATTGACGAGGCCATGACTGTTGTGTGAGGTAGTTTCGTGGTTTCGATGTTGGTCGCAGAGATGCGTGTGAGAAGTGACCAAGCTTTTTGGAAACGATTGATGAAGATGGCCTGTTATATAACCCAGAAGATTACAAGGCTCTCTCATTCCTTCAACTCATAGGTACTTAGCATAAGGATGGAATTTTCAGCGAATGCTCGTAAACGGCTCATCCTATCACGAGCCCACGATGTTTGACCCGACAGCACCCGCTGAACAGTTGATGATTCAGATTTGTTCCCTGTCTTTGTCTTGCCAGTCACCAGTGACTCCTTGTGAAGACTGATGTAATTTGAATGCGTTTACTTCCGGATTCTTGGATAGGGCGGCATCGTATGTGGCGGTTTACCCAGTCCATTCAAAATCTTGGTACGACCATGGACCGAGCCACAACACGTCAGACGGCAGAAATGCAACAGGGTTTCGAGAGACTTCTGATGGCAGCATGTGTTGTAGAGATGCGCATGACCAACCCATAGAATAACTGCTTTACCGCGATCCCATCATCAACGATAGGCGATACGAATATGTGTTACGTGATTCAGAATAAATATTCTTTGAGCACGCGTAAACATGTACAACACGAGCTTGAACAGAGGTATAAAGGAAAGATGGCGGAGTCTACGCGGCGGTAAGACCGCCATTGAGAGAGATTAACTCGAAAGAAGCCTCATCGGCAGTAGGTGAAAGAGGCCACAGAGGCATAGCTCCCCATTGAGCTCGTGCTGCTGATGATGAGGATGGCATATATGATTTGGGCACCAGTCTCATGATTCATCTAATTCCGGCAAGTTCGGGAAGCGAACAAGGTTGCCCGTTCATTTGCTTTCATCAAGCAGCATATGGACCTGGCAGCCATGAAGACGGCGGATCGTAGACTCGGATGCTTTCTTCCTTTTGATGCCACCAGAAGATTTCTCAACAGCCATTCTCGTAGAGTTCTCATGGACTCATACACGTTGAGTACAGGGTGCTGTTGGATTGCGACAGTTGAGCACCCACGATGTTGCGGCAGCAAATAGTTCATCTACCTCCAAAGCACCATCGATCCGGATCTGGGTATACAACGCCACCACGCGAGGCAAATGGGGGCTCAAACGAGAAAGCGAAGAGCAACTGCGCTTTGAACAATCGTTGTTGGGGCGATATCGATCGAGATCATGGGCTGAAAGTCTGATGAAGACAGACGCGCCAAGGTCTGGATCTCAAGATCACAGTATATCGATACCTTCGTTTCGTCCCCGTTCATAGGAAAGCTCTGGCATTGGGTTTGTAGGGCCAACACGACTCTTTGAAGGCCCAGGAGCTCAGCTGGGGGCTTCTCCCTGGTGTTTCCTGATCGTGACTGAGTTTATTCTGTTCATGAAGGCGGTGATGATGATGACAGGCACTCAAAACCTTGCTGAGGTACATGTAGTGCACCGGGAGGTTATGGTGCCGTTTGGCAAGCGCTGTTCACGGATGTGTCCCTCAAGCTGTACCTCGCCATCCGGGTATAGCTGCTGACTGAAGCGGTCAAAGTAAATAGGACAAGATCAGTCAATCAATCAATTCAAATGCTTTGCGTCCGAGTGTGTCGGTTGACTGTCATCTTTATACGGGTCGTAACGTCTAATCGGATCTTAAGTCCGCAGCGGCTTTTAACTCTTAGCTCCGTACGGTAATCGAAGCAGTTTAACTTACAACGATGTAACTTTTCTTCATTTTCTTTCGTTTTACTCAATAATTGGAATCAGTTCAAGGAATATCAAACGGCAATCTGGCAAGCGCAGCAATGGAAGGACATCACCCGAAAACAGTGTTGATCATCGGTGGAACTGGTAAAGTTGGCCGACAGCTCACCAAGCTCTTTGCGGAGACGTCAGTTCAGGTCTATCAAGCCTTCCGCAAAGGGTCGGCGACGACAGAGTCGGGCGCCGAGAACATCAAACCGATTGCCTTCGACTGGAACGATAAGAAGACATGGGACACGGTTCTAGAAATTGGCGCGACGAGCGTATTCCTGGTGGCGCCACCAGGGGGTCCTTTGCCGCCGGTGGAGTTGTTCATTGACCAGGCGCGACTCAAGGGACATGTGAAGCGATTCGTTCTGCTGAGCGGGAGTCCAGTCGAGCCGGATATCAATAGTCTGGGGATGGGTCGACCTCATGCCTATCTAAAGCAGCTTGGTGAGAAGGGCGAAGTGGAATGGGCAGCGATCAGACCGACATGGTTTCAACGTAAGTGCGCGCCTATTTCTAGGTAGGGTCTGGGGAAGTGCTGTTGCTGATCACTGAACAGAGAACTTTGCGGAATTAGAAAACTACCGCGACTCAATTGTTAAAGAAGGTGTTATCTACTCTGCCACCGGGGACGGAAAGATTCCTTGGGTTGCGACAGAGGATATTGCTGCGTGTGCGTTCCAGCTACTTACCCAAAAGGACGCTCCAAACGACGAGTATTTGATTCTCGGGCCCGAGCTACTCAGCTACGGCGATGTGAGTACAGTTGTCTAACTAGACCTTCCCGCAGTAGGAGTAATGATGTTATACAGATCGCCGAGATCCTTTCCAAAACTCTCGGTCGCGAGATCACGCACAAGGACCTCTCGGTTGACGAGCTTGTGGACTACTATGTTCGACAAGGTCTACCTACGCATATTGCGGAGATGCTAGGCAACGCAGACATGGCCATTAGGAACGGGAGTGAGAACCGGATGAACAGTGTTGTTGTCGATTTGACAGGGAAACGCCCAGCACGATTTTGTGACTTTGCGGAGAAGAATAAGAGGCTCTGGGCGCAGAAGTCTGAAGGGTCTTTTAATCCAAGCATGGGCATCAAATATTAACTCCATGAAATGAATGATGATTGTACGCCAACCTATCTGAAGGGAGATACGGACTTTCCACCTAGTTCACATACTAGCAATGCAGAGAAGTCGAGTCTCATGCACAGAGCCATAGATACCAACGTGCTCCTCGTTGGACCAAATGCTATCCTGAATTTAAAAAGACATAAGGCAGATATACTCTTGCTCGATACTTCTCTTGCTCTTCTTTCAACTTCTGGTTGCAGACTTCCTTCGTGTCCCCTTCCTCCATGACAAATATAATAGTGTTTCCGCCAAGCTCTATCCATTCACTGTGCTCGACGGCATATGCGTAGCCGAGTCCAATGGTTCCTCCCTGTCCATTAATGCGAATACGCCATGAAGTAGACATGCGACGTGATCGCGTAGGTAGCGAAAACCGACTTCGGTGTTGAGTACGTTAGAAGACAGGTAATCAGACGACTCGCATCAAATACGTTGATATGCCACGAGAGATGCTGCATAAGTGATGAACATATTCCACAGCTACTTGATCTAGGTGCCCAAAATAAAAAGAGTGTCGTATTCCTCGTAGTCGCTACCGCTCTATTGCTTTTACTAAGCCTTGATAGTACCCTATGTGCTCAAGGCCGAGATTGGTTGACTAATAGCTGGTCCGGAGAAGGCTCGATGTTATCTGCTGTCTCCTCCGTTGGGCAATCGTGACTGTCGTTCCATACCCAATTCTCTCTGCTGAACCAAAGACAAAGGACGAGGCTTGAACTTCCGGAAAGCCGTCTCTAAATGAACCAGTGACATTTCGCGTCTATCAATCGACCCTCAATGCATTGTTTGCCCACGATCTGGGATAGGAAATCATCGGCCATCTCATCGTCCTTGGAGAACATGACAGACTCGGACTCGATGAGTAAGAGGCGCATCGGAATACCAAAGAACATGTACCAGCCGAGGTCCGACCGTGGACCAAACATGTCGTTTTCCATTATCTTAGTCTTGGAACCTTTCAGCAAGGGATCTTTTCGAGAGGCTTCATCACCCCTCAGCCGATTATCAGCTCCACGGAGGAGAATAGCTTCCACTTCGTCAGGTCAGTGCAGTCAGCATTCCAAATTACTGGCATCGGCATGGTGCGGTGGCTTACTTCTCTGAAGGTAGTGGCAGAGAACTTCCAGGTCGTGGGTAAAGATGGCTTTCTCGGGGCCATCTCCCACTGAGATCTTGCGATCCAAGGCAATCAATCCGGTTAACGGCGTATTTTTATCAAAAATCTTCCCGTCGTCGAGGAGTCTGCTGATCCAGCTCCTGAAATCAGTCCACAGATCTTTGACTAGTTCCTGCGCTCGCGTGTAAGGAATTTCGTGAGGATGCTTCACGATAGATTTGAACACTTCGTCGCATGCCTGTACCTTTTTCGAGGGCTGGTCGGCAAGGACCTGGGTGTTGAAATCACTAGAAGCCATGATTATCGCATGAGGTGGTTTCGTTGTCTACAGAGATGAGTCTGAGAGATGATGAGGCTATCTTGGAAAGGAAACATGACCTTTCTTATAATTCAGGGACCTATACCACTCTCTGAACATCCGGGTATCACTCTGTTGATGACAAGTCCACGATCATGGAGCTTGAAAGCACCACCTACTGAACACTCAACGATCCATAATCCTCTCCTTCTTTGTCTATATAACAATCTATAGAGCCGCCCTACCCCGAGGGAATGATTGGCGAAATCTGAAAAGTATTCACATCCTGATTTATAAGGGTGTGGGAACCATATGTGGCGGTTTCCCTGGCCTCTGTGCGACCACCCGGTAAACTTACCCGTCTTTCGACACTCGCCTTCTGACAATAAATACGAAGACACCCACCCCCCCCATCAAACCAATAGCTCCTACCGCCACAGGATAGATATAGGTTTGGAAAAGAGGCAAAGTTCCTACACGTGCAAGTACAACTGAGGCATTTCCTGAAATGAATGAAAGGTGACGACGCCACGACTTTGGCGGTGAATGGCGGTCACAATGACTTCTGCTGATCCCTTGATGAGCTGGTGTATCGAGAGGCCGTGTGACTACTGGAAGCTGCTGCCCGTGATGTGTGTCTTTCGAAGAGTGATGACTGACTGGAGGGGATTACCGACGATGACGTGGCTACTCAAGTGATCTCAGAAGATCCGATGCTCAGCACCAGGAAACCAACTCAATGGGTAGGATCCCCTTCGATCACGCATATCCTCTGAATTGCGCAAATGGGGGCTCAAGGAGAAGAAAGTGGGCGAAGCTCACGAGTCCTACAGAGGTGGTTTGTAAGTGGAAAGACCGTTTGTAGGGCTCTAACCGCCTTCCTGGTTCACCTTCGCTAGCGACTGCTCAGAACCCAAAAACTGGAATCAAACGAGACTCTGAAGACATGTGTGCAAAATTTGGGGATGAAGATAGCCAATTGGCCCTTGTACACCGGCTCTTAGATTAAGTGACTACAATTGGGTCAGCGCAAAACTGGGCAATAGCATGAGACTGAGCATCGTATGCTTGCTTATATTGTGCATATAGACTAGTATTCTATAGATTTGCCTTGTTCTCTTGGGAGCCGGGAAACCCTCATCATACACATAGAGATACCAACGACGATGCCCACTAAGTAACGAAGTAGATCCAGAGCCGCCTGATCTGGGTAAACCAGCTGAAAAGTGCCGCATTCCGCGAAGCCGCCAGCGTTCTACTGCTTTCTCCAAGCCTCGATAGGACCTAATCTTCTCGAGGCTGACGTCGGTTTACTCAACAGATGATTCAGAAAGCTCGCATTTGTCCGCCGCCGACCTGGGGCCCAGGTCTCCCGATCATGTTTGGTAATGGTGAACATAACCGATTTCACTAGAGATTGGTCTCTTCGGGCTCTACTCTGCAGGCCGGAACGAGAGGACTTTAACCGATTGCTTTGACCGACGGTGGCGAAGCAGGAATGATCTTGGCATCCAGCAATGTCCTCTCCAAGTTCTTCCGGTCGACAACTTTCTTGATTTCTTCCCCTTGGAAACCAGAATTTCGTTCCCTACACGCAGCAAGCCTGAGATTGAGAAGCGTGAAACGCATTGGAATATCGATGAATAGTACTGCGCCAAGGAGTGTTCTTGGATCAGTGCCCTCTTCATCTCTCCCACGATTCGGCCAAGAGAGGTCCATAGGATCTCTCATCGTTGGTTTTCCCCATCTCATGTTAGGCGATGAACGGGGGCAGTCATCGACACCGACCATGCAGCTCACTCCATCGTGTTGATTAGTACTGACATATTCGCAAAGGGGTATTTGGGTTAAGGTTTGGCGATGACTTACCGTCTACAAGAGTTGCAAGTAGACCTTGCAAGTCGCCGATATTAGCACCTTGCCCAGATGCATAAGGCCCCACTGCCACTGACCAGTCGTCAAAATCATTGCTATATTTTTTGAAGAGAGCCTGTGCTTCAGGGTATTGAGTCAGACTTATGCCTTTGAGGCGTTGAAATTGAGTGCGGATGCCATCGATATATCCCCGTACTGGTTCATGGCCTTGAGGTTGCTGTGGTAAGCTTGAACTAGCCATGATTATTATCGAAGTCGCGGAACGCTGTACTGAATCAGGTTCAGGAGACGCTTGGAGCAGGTAATGACTCCTGTTTTGTAAAGGGCATATGCCCTCTTTAATATCCCAGAAACCTCCTACCTGCCAAGTTTGACACGCTGAGGCGTATTCAGTAAATGCCCGCAGCCGCGTTTCTCCTTTTATCACGAGCCCACATGATTGAGCCTCACAGCATCTACTAAGGTAGTATTTGATGGTCCAAATTCCACTTCATCTTTGTCTACATAACTGTGTGTAACATATCATCTGGCGATTGGCATAATCTGAAAGGATTGATGTTCTGCATGAAATGGGGTTGGCGTCATAGGTGGCGGTTGCACAGTTCTTTATTCGGCCGTGCTTGGCGAGGCTTTGGTAGACATACCTGATGATGAATACAGAGACGGCGGTAACGGGCCCGGTCGTCGTCCGACAAGCTTCAAGGAGCAAACATCAATTGCCCCGAACAACAGCTTTATTCACCGAGTCCCTAGATGAAGACGTCCATCTATTCACCACACTCCTAGGCTACTGCCGCCTCGGGGTAGATGTTAGTTTAGGAGAAAGGCAAAGATTCCCACACAGAAGAGCTTCAATATGGAATTTGCCCAGTGCGAATCGCAAGTAACGATGCTATGACTCTGGCAGTGAATGACGGTGAGAGCAGACTTTCCGCCTTGCTGAGGTGGTGTAAGTCTGACACAGGTGTGGTGTGCTGCCGGAAGCTCCCGTGATGAGCTTGGCTAATACCAAGTACTAGGTAGACATGTAGACATGGCGCTCCTTGACCAGAAAGGAAAACAGGAGCACAGAGCATCATCAAGGTCACAGAGAGCGTATTTGAGACAGTGTAGTGTAGTACCCAACATATGGATTACAGATCATATACAGAGCTACATATCTACGTAAATGACTCCGGGATCCTTTATCCGTTCTGTTTTATCCAAAAATCGACTTCAACTTCTTCCATTACATTTGATCATCTGTAATTCGTACATGACATGTTTGCTAGATAAACCATTGACATAGCGTGATACGCTTACAGACGGGAGCCGTGGATGACCTTGACATCGACGGCGAGCTCACGGCCAGCGTCGTTGAGGACAAGGACGCGGACGGAACCACGGCCGGACTCGAAGGCGTTGTTGAGGCGGGACCAGAGGTTGGACTGGTCAATGACGGGCAGGCCCTGCTTGACGTCGCCGGTCTCGGTCATGGCAGTGACGTGACCATCGGCGAGGTCGAGGACGCGGTACTGCTTGAAGACGGGGCCGAGCATGGTCTGAACAACGACGCTGGGGGCGGGGTTGGCGATGAAGGAGGACTCCTCGTGGAGCTGCTTGGTGAAGAGGTCGACACCGAGGTAGCGGTACTGGCCGGTGGCGGCGGAGGTGGAGATCTTGATGACCTGGCAGGGACGGCCCTGGAGCATCAAGAAGTCGCCGAGGCGGATGTGGTGGCAGGGGATGGTGACGGTGTTGGGGAGGAGAGGGGCACCGGAGCCAGAGCCGGAAGACTGGCGGCGGGGGGCGGAAGCGGCGCGAACCTCGGAGACTTCGTAACGGTCAGCATGACCATGATGATGATGGTGGTGATGATGGGGGTGAGCAATCTTGTCCGCCAGCTTGTGAAGGCCTTGACGGAAAGAATGGTAGTGGCCTGGTGGTGCGAGCACCCTTCAGTGTCGGTCCATAGATTGGGGGGACGAACGGCGCAACCAAAACACACGCACACACACACAAAGCCCAATAAGCATTGGACGGACAGACAAGCCAGCAAGCACACGCACGCACAAAAGGGGGTCAAGCAGAGCACTGGGGAGGGGGACTTCAAGACTTACCATCCTCGTCGTAGTAACCCATCTTGGAAGACTTGTGTTGGGGCTTGGAGACGTGAGTGGGCTCGATGGTCTCTTCGGTAACCTTGATGGTTTCCTTGTACTGCTGAGGACGGGGGCGCTCAGATTCGACGGTGTACTCGTCGACGTGGGAGTGCTGGTGGTGGGAGTGGTGATCCGAGTGGTGGTCGGAGTGAGAGTGGTGGTGGTGGTGGTGATGAGGAGCCGGGTAGGTCTCGACGGTGACTTCCTCCTTGTGGTAGGTAGGCTGGAAGCGTTGACGGTACTGGCGTTCGATTTTATCAATCGGGTTTACCAGGTGCTCGTGGTGACGGGTGTCGATCTCAACGCGAGTGTCGTGGTGGTGGATGCGAGTGTCGTGGAACTCTTGCTGAGTGGTGTATTGAGAGGGAGCAGGAGCAGGAGCGGGAGGGGCAGGGCTGGATAGAAGGAAAAGAAGAGAGAAGTCAGTTGATGTTTTGATGGGGGAGCTTGATGGGGAAGCTTTTTCGCTCCGGTTGACATATTTGACGTGACAAGTGGTTACTTGGCCAACATGGGACTAGGGGGCCGGGAGGAGGCGTCCAGGGTCCATGACTGGCGGCTCGTAATGGGCAAGGAGGGAAATTTGGCGAAATACCGGGGCCCGAGCTGAAGCGGTCCCGAGCCGGGGTGCCCAGTGGGAGGAGAGGTAGGGGTGTGTAGAAGGAGGAGGAAGATAGGTAGGTGAGAGACGGTTGCCAAGGGGAGGCGGAGGGTGGATGGGGGAGGAGAAGGGGCGGTGACCGGAGTGACGCGAGTGGGTATGTGTTGTTTTGAGGTTGCATGGGAAGAGGGAAGCGGGAGTGAGGGGGGAGGCTGGATGAATCGATCGATGCCATGCCATACATAAGCTGTGATGGGCACATGCGGCCACGGATAGAAAGGGTTGGGCAGAGAGAGGAATAGAGAGAAAGTGATGAACAGATAGACAGAGAACAGATAGAGAAAGATCAGAACATACCGGTACTCCTCACGGTAGTTGTGGGACTCGTAGTGGACACCGGGACGGTGGTAGTGTTCTTCGATGCGGACCTCTTCTTCGTAGCGGTGCTGCTCTTTCCGAGGGGGAAGAGGCTGCTGCTGCTGCGGCTTCGACTCGGCGATGGTGGTGAAGGAAGAGTATTGACTTTCCTCCCGTCCGGGCTTGTTGGGCTTCTTTTCGGGAACTTTGATCTCAAGCTCCTCGTGCGTCTGAGTGACTGTTTGGGTCTGGGTTTGTGTCTCACTCTCCTTGTAGGTGGAGGGAAAGACGCTAAAGGGGACGGGGACACGAGCTTCAAAATCCAGATTGGCGGCCTTGGGGGCGCAGAGAGGAGAATCTTCTAAGCGTTCCTGAAGTGAGGAAGGCAAAGAAGAGTATCCTCTTGCTTCGTTTTCCTAAAAAAACAAAGGGGAAGGGAAAGGTGGAAGAAGCCGGTCGTTCAAGTGACACGCGCTTCTGCTTTTCTCTTCTCTTTTGGATTTGGAGGAAAGGGGGTGTGCCGACAGGAAAGTGAAGTTGGGCAAAAAGGGCGATTGAAGCTTTGAAGATGGATGGAGAGGAGAGAAGAAGGAGGGAGAAGAGGGTCGCTCGAGATGTGCGATGCGGATTGGGTTTTGAAGACGGGGGGTTGGAGGGTGATGGTTGGACCGAGCAGCAGAGCAAGCGGCGAGCGAATGCAGTCTGCAGAAAACGAGGGTTGTGAAGGGTTGCCGGGGCAAGGGGTGAAATGTTGTGCTTGTGTGTGTGTGTGTCTGACTGTCTATTGTGTATGAGTGTGTGCGAGTGTGTCCTCTTGAGACTCTGGACTGGTATCTTGGATCAAAGTGGGACCGAGACTGGGATCAGTGTCTTTGTGGGTGGATGGACGGCTGGGAGTGGATGCGGAGGAGGCGGGCTGGACGATCTGGATTGGACAGGATTAGATCGAGTGTGTCTCGTTTTCTGGGAGAGATATCAAAAGATGTGAGAGGAGAGACCAACCGAGAGTCTGTGTTCTGTCTGGTGTGGGTTCAAGTTGTGATGGATGGTGTGCGAGGGTGAGAGATGAGAAAGATGCCTGTAGAATGGCAGGAAATGGTAAGGTATGGATAATAGTACGGATAGGATAGAGAGAAACTTGAGAAAGACGAGCAATTCCCAGCAAGAAAGTGTGGTCAAAGTGCGCCGTGTGTTGTGTGGGAATGTTGACATTGGCTCCCGTCTCCTGCATCAGACCAGCAGTGGATATTCCGTTTGTTTATTCCGCCCCGAAGAGGACTAGTCCGGGGATGAGAAGTGGAGATTCGACATGGGGCAGGTCGGCAGGAGGAGAAGCTCGGAGCTGCAGCTCGAAGCTTTGACGCCCTGGCAATGTGTACATAGGTACAAACCACATTCATCTGGTAGCAATGGACGCCTTGCATCTGAGGTGTCCAGGCCAACGGTACCCAAGTCAGGCACCAGTTTGCTCCGGCGCGGCAGGTACCGGGCACCACTGCACACTTTCCCATTCTCCATTTCGATGGCGACCTGCCCGACTGTTTGAGGTGAGAACGTGCCAACCTAAGGTACCTACATCCATACATGGAACGCTACGTACCTACGTACCTGAGCTACCTAATAGAAGGAACCTCGGATACGTACTCCGTTCCCGCTGTCTCATCCCTCCCCGTCCTTTCCCATCTGATTCTGACTGCCCGTGCCCGCACATGTCGCACACCTCACCTCAGAAAATTGGAAGCTCTTTCTCACCATTCGATCTCTGCGCCTAGCCACGCACACGTCAATTGACAGCCCGACAACTTCGATATGGGGTCAATTGATTCAATGGTCCATCTTCATGCAAGTAATAACCATTCGAGTCATTCGCATGCGATGGAATGCCATCCTACTGCATGCAAGATGCTGCCGACTCGATGGACCACCACTGCACCAAGGCTTCTACAGAGCTCAGCTCTCCCACACCACCACACAACACACACCCACCCACCTCTTTTCCCTAGCGCTGCAAAGTGTGCCAGGCAATGTCGGCAGTAATCGCACCTCCAAGACGCCCGCTTGCGCAAGCTCCAACAGTGGACCTTCTCGCATTGATTATTGACCACCGTCCTGGTCAAGTTAGAACTTGCTGGACCGACCGCTGCCGACCAGCTTCGTCCTCGGCTACCCGTTTCTAGGTCCTTCCCTCCACCCCAAGATTACAGGCGCCGTGGTCGATCAGCAACAGAATAACCCCAACTTAGCTGGCTGGGCTGGCCCTGACAAGACATCGGAGGCTGGAGCAGAGAGACTGGGACCTTGTGGTGCCAGGAAGAGGGAACCCCAGATTCTCGCAACTGGGCAGAATCTGCCAATTGTTGTGGTATTACATGGCCCATAGGCGTTCCCACCCAGGCGCCGTGATGGGCGCCACCACAAATCCAAGAGGCGCCGGTCAATGAACTCATTGGACTGTCACTTTGCTCTTGAGCATGAGGCGACGAACAGACACTAACCATGGGCCGTGTCGAATGTCTCCTTGTGTCCAGCTGCATTGCTGACGGCTGTCGCGAATTGCGCTGATGCTCCCACCCTACGAATACGCTCTGTGTATGTCGCCTGTCACATCTGGCAGCTTGTTGACACGCTCGTCAAGTTACGGATACAACAAACAAAACACCGACTTGGGGCTGGGTACGAAGATCGTCGTTTCGCACACGGCCCAAATGCCCGCTATCGACCGTCTGCATGGTCCGCATAGCCTGACCGCGGCAGCCCGGAAACTCAATTGGCCAGTCGTGGAGCTTCCCCAACCACCCTTCAGCTGCAATCGCCCTTCCCGGCCTTTTGTTTCCAGGGTTCTCAGGCCGGCGGCTGCTTCTGAGGCCCTGCGAAAATCAGCAATTGACCACTTCTCAAGTTCTCACACCAATACGGGGGATCCAATACTGGGTCTCACACATCGTGGAACAACTCCATTGGACTGCCTGTCTGCAATCGCCGCACAACTCATGCAAGTTGACGGTCGCACATGCAAAACGAGGCTGGCTGGCGGCTTTGCTTTTTCCAGGGAGGCCTACGACGTGGCCAAGGCAAAGTCCCCTACCTGCCTACCTCACGGATCCCGCCCGCAGCGCCCGAGTGGGGCTTCAAACCATTGATGGATCTCGACAGTCAGATTCCCCATTTCCCCTGGATCCATCAGAGAGTCATGGAGACGCTGCTCTGTCCCAGTTTTGCGCTCCCACGAGACTCTGCAACGGGGGAGGTTGGAGCTATTCATAATCACCAGCCTCCCGTCCTTGGATCATCCCAATTGGCACCATATAGTCAATGGTTTCAAACCAAAGCCATCAAACCAGACGAACCGGTCGGGACACACGGGCGGGAGCTCCCTTGCAATGCACCTGGTTGCCGTGACGACTGGATGGCCCCGGCTCCCGCGCTAACTGTAATTGGATACCCTTTCTTCGGCACTGAACGACCATCGCTCTCCGCCGCCGACGGGATCGAACAGAAGACAACAAATTGGATGTCTTTGTGTGGATGGATCACATGAAAGTCAAAAGAGCTTGGAAATCTTTCTCACTGTTGTCTGTTCAACAAGAGAATCATGGGGTCGCGGCAGGAAGGACGCAGGAGACTGTCGTCCAGAAAGGCAAGAGATGACATTTGGGCAACGAATGAGGCCGAAAACCTCAAAGCGATTGGCGATATCAGCTGTGTCTCTTACAAGGGATATCTATCTGATGGCTTCGTGTCAGTTCGATGGCTTATGGTTCAAATGCTTCGAAGCCAGCCAAAGCTGGTAAACGATGGCTTCGCTGCGCGGGCTCACGCATCTAGTAAAGACCATACGCTGCTTGCGTTCAAGTTTGACTTCGAGTTACTTCGGAAAATCACCGTCAACCTAAAGATCCTAAGACCGGACTGGAGACTGCAATTGTAGAGTAAGTGCTTGAGCGACCAGTCCTAGGCGTTATGTCTGTAAAGTCATCGATGCTACTGCAGTCCTTTTGATCTGCTGAGCCGCACCGCCTGTACTCTGTAGAATGGCATGCGAATATGACATGCCGTCTAGACCATCATCACGGGATTGTCTCATGCGCTAGCCATCCTATGATTAAGAGCGTACGGAGTAGAGAGTCTATTCGCTGATCCAACGTTTTGTTGATTCGAGCATTCGGAACAATGTGTTTACAACGGATCCGTTGAAGATCGGCAACCCTTGGACTGACTGTATTATCTGTTCACGAGCAACGTCTCGAGTGCAACTTTAAGGATAAACACTTTGTTTCGTCTTATTTGAGTTGGCATCTGTCACCACAAGCCAGTGGCACGGAGCTCTAATTTAGTATGACAGCTCTCCGTCTTTGCTTGAAGCTCGAAATGTGGCGCTACCAGTTCGGTGTGCGTCATCACGGCCAGCTCGGGATGAGAGATGAAAAAATCATCATGAAACCAATCCCCATCATTAAAGCCCATAATTCCAATTGAAAGCACTCGAGTCTCTTCTTATCTAATAAAAGATTATACAAAACTCAAAAGCCCTTTGAAAACCCCGAATAATTGGCAGAAAGATCCGACGAACATTGAGTGACGTTCCCGGTGACAGACCAAGCACGTGACGTCATCGTGGCGCATTCCACAATTGCAAAGCTCTTCAGCCACGAATGCCCCGCGATTATTCATTCGCATCACGAACTCCTGCCCCTCACTCGACTCAGCGCAATCAAGTCTTTGCAACACCTAAGCCGCCACAAAAGACTGGCGCGCTCGCATTGTTAAACGAACTATACGAAAGCTCCAGGAATCGATTCACACGCAGTCATGAAGCAGCGTTTCTCCTCCATCGACGTCAAAGTCATCGCCCACGAGCTTCAAGAGAGCCTGACGACCCTGCGACTGGCCAACGTCTACGACCTCTCCTCCAAGATCCTGCTGCTCAAGTTCGCCAAGCCCGAAAACAAGAGGCAGCTTATTATCGACTCTGGTTTTCGATGCCACCTTACAGACTTTACGCGCACAACTGCCGCGGCGCCCTCGGCTTTTGTGGCGCGGTTGCGCAAGTTTCTCAAGACGAGGCGGTTGACGTCTGTTAAGCAGGTTGGAACGGACAGAATTCTGGAGTTTCAGTTTAGCGATGGCCAGTACCGTCTCTTCCTCGAGTTCTTTGCTGTAAGTAGCTAACTTTGCCTGCCTGCGGCGAGAATCCACCACTGACTTTTCCCTCACACAGAGCGGAAACGTCATTTTGACCGACGCCGACCTCAAGATCCTCACACTCTTGCGCAACGTTCCCGAAGGAGAGGGCCAGGAACCTCAGCGAATCGGATTGAACTACTCACTAGACAACCGGCAGAACTTTAACGGAGTTCCCGACCTCACGAAGGAGAGAGTACGAGCGGCGCTGGAGTTGTCGGTCAAGAAGAGCGCGACAGCTGTCTCTGCGGGGAAGAAGATCAAGACGAAGCCTGGTGACGAGTTGAGGAGGAGCTTGGCGACGACGATCACCGAATTACCGCCTATCCTTGTCGACCACGCATTCCAGATTACCAAGTTTGACGGCACTAAGAAACCCGCAGAGATTCTCGAGGACGAGTCGCTTTTGGATGCGCTCCTGAAGGCGTTGACTGAGGCTCGGAGTATTGTGGAAGTCGCCACTAGCTCTGCCACGGCCAAGGGCTACATCTTTGCAAAGTACCGATCGAAGCCGGACGGCGCGCCAGCAGCGGAAGGAGAGGAGGCCAAGAGATCGGATCTTCTTTACGATGACTTCCACCCTTTTTTGCCCAACAAGTTTGCAAACGACCCCACTGTCAAAGTAATCGAGTTTGATGGCTACAACAAGACTGTCGACGAGTTCTTCTCGTCTTTGGAGGGCCAGAAGCTGGAATCAAGACTGACCGAACGAGAGGCCGCGGCAAGGAGGAAGCTTGATGCCGCCAGGAACGACCAGGAGAAGCGCATCGAAGGACTCCGAGAGGCGAAATCCCTCAATGTCCAGAAGGCTACCGCGATCGAGGCAAACGTCGAGCGTGTGCAGGAGGCGATGGACGCGGTTAATGGACTGATTCAGCAAGGCATGGATTGGGTCGATATCAGCAAGCTCATTGAGCGCGAGCAGAAGCGACACAATCCCGTCGCCGAGATCATTAAGCTACCGCTCAAGCTTGCGGACAACACGATTACCTTGCTGCTAGGGGAGGAGGAAGAAATCGAAGACGACGAGTCCAACTACGAGACCGACTCTGATGCATCCGACAGCGACGAGGAGGAGACTAACAACAAGCAAAAGACTTCAAAGCATCTGGAAATTGATATTGATATCACCCTGTCGCCTTGGGCGAACTCGAGAGGGTACCATGAGCAGAAGAGGAGCGCCGCTAAAAAGGAGGAAAAGACGGTCCTGCAGTCTCAGATTGCGTTGAAGAATGCCGAGCAGAAGATTCAGGCAGAGCTGAAGAAGGGCCTCAAGACGGAGAAGGCTGTCCTTGCGCCAATCCGGAAGCAGATCTGGTTCGAGAAGTTCACCTGGTTTGTCTCTTCTGATGGATACCTGGTTCTGGCAGGCAAGGATGCGCAGCAGAACGAAATGTTGTACAAGCGCTATCTCCGCAAGGGCGATGTCTACGTTCACGCCGATATGCACGGCGCCGCGACCGTCATCATCAAAAACACCCCCAGCGATCCGGGGGCGCCTATACCTCCTTCAACGTTGGCGCAGGCAGGCACAATGGCCGTGTGCAGCTCGAGTGCGTGGGACTCCAAGGCAGGCATGGGCGCATGGTGGGTGAACGCCGACCAGGTTTCCAAGTCTGCTCCTACCGGAGAGTACCTCCCCACGGGTAGCTTTATGGTCAGGGGCCAGAAGAATTTTCTTCCTCCTGCACAACTTCTGCTCGGTCTCGGCATCATGTTCAAGATTAGTGAAGAGAGCAAGGCCAGACATGTGAAGCACAGACTGTATGAGACCGCTGATGTCCCGGCTTCGGCGGCCGATAGCGCGGCACCAGAGACTGCGACTGATGCTGCTCAAGCTGATGACGATGTCCCGGATGATGCTTCTGATATTGGATCTGAGGACGATCAAGAAGATGAGGAGCCGCGCGACAACCCTCTGCAGAATCTTGGACAGAGTGGACAGGATGATTCAGAGGAGCAGCTTGCATCTGAAGAGTCCCCTGCCGAGGAGTTGTCAAACCTCAAGATTGAAGAGGACAAGCCTGCGGAGCAGTCCGCCGAGGGCGAAATCGAGACAGCAGAGAAGGAAAATGAAGAGGAAGAGGAAGAGGAAGAGGAAGAAGAAGGAGATGACGACGAAGAGGAGAGCGACAAGCCAGCCACAGGACAAACGTCAACCCCCACAGAGCCATCGAATGCACCAAGCACCACCACGACCGAGAAGCAACAACCAGCCAAACGAGGCCGACGCAATAAAGCCAAGAAGATTGCAGCCAAATACAAGGACCAAGACGAAGACGATAGGGCAGCAGCCGAAGCCCTCTACGGCTCCGCGCGCGGCAAGCAACGAGCTGAAGCCGAGGCCCAAAGTAAAGCGGACCGAGAAGCCCAGCTGGCATACCAAAAGGAACGTCGCCGCGCGCAGCACGAGAAGCAGCAAAAGGAGACGGCCGAGCACGAGGAGATTCGCAGGCTGATGAACGAGGAGGGCGTAGAGGTCTTGGATTCGGATGAGCTGAGCAAGATGACGCTGCTCGATTCGCTGGTCGGGTGGCCTCTCCCCGGCGACGAGATTCTCGAGGCGATCCCCGTGTGTGCGCCGTGGACTGCCATGGGCAAGTTCAAGTATAAGGCCAAGCTCCAGCCTGGCGCGGTGAAGAAGGGCAAGGCGGTCAAGGAGGTGTTTGAGAGGTGGAAGAGCGATTCGTCCAAGAAGGGCGCGCTCGACGAGCGGGCGCAGGATAAGGAGAAGATGTGGCCGAGGGAGGTGGAGCTTATGAAGGCGCTCAAGGCGGAGGAGAGTATTAATGTCGTGCCGGTTGGTAAGGTACGGGTTATGATGTCTGGCGGGAGCGGAGGGTCGGGGGCCAAGGGGCAGCAGGGCAAGGGGGGACGTGGTGGGAGGGGATCGAAGAAGAAGTAGAGGCTGATGAGTTTGAGGTTGGTTGTGAGGATGAAGTCCAGGTATGCATCGACTGTATCTATAGAGAGGGTCTCTTAGGTCTCTGAGGGAACTTGAGAACACCAATTGCATCCATCACCCATGCTTCTTCTAGTCATTCCCGTCTATCGATGAATGTCCACCATCCACCATTCACCACCCTCATATTCGTGAACCTACTTCTTCCCCCTCGTAATCTCAAAAGCCCTCAAGACATCCAGCTTCTGATGCTCCGAAGTCCACTCAAACACTCTCTCCCCGCATCGATCAGCACGCACCTCCTCCTCCGTAGCCCAGACGAAATCGTCGTGCTCCTCGGGGTCAATCTCAACCTCCGCCTCCCCTCCCCCATCCGCGGAGGTCTCAACTTCCACGAGGTAGGTATACTTCCTCCACGCATCGCGTCCCTTGAAGTATTTATGCGAATCCTTCACAACTCCATCTCCCGCAGTCGTCCCCTCCTCCTTCTTTTTCTTCTCCTCCGCAATCCCACCATTATCAGACAGTTGTCCGACCTCAATAATCCCAACACCACCCCTCGATAACCCCCACGCCTGGTCCCCAGCCACAGCCTCCGCTTTTTCACCGGCGCCAGCACCCTCCCATTGGTAACATCCCACCAGCGCCACGAATTTCGTCGCGCGGAGGCCGGTTTCTTCCCAGAGTTCGCGGGCGGCGGAGGCGAGGGAGTTGGCGTCGAGGGATTCTGCTGCGCCGCCGGGGAGTTCCCATCTGTGGGGGAGGGCGGATTCTTTTGCGGAGCGTTGGAGGAGGAGGATCTTGGGGGTGGTTTGGAAGGGGGAGAGGACTGCGGCGCCTACGCAGAGGCGGTGGGTGTGGAAGACTTCTTGGGGAGGAGACGACGAGGATGAGGAGGTAGGTGGTGGATTGTTGTAGGGGTGGAAGCGGAGGGTATAGGGGAGGAGGGAGGGTGATGTTGTGTAGTTGAGAGGCGGTGTTGGCGCTGCGGGAGGCATGTTGGTTGATGAATTCTGTTACGGCTCTTGGAGTTTGGTTAAATTGAGGGAGTGCAGACGAAGGAGATGATGCTTCGATGATGGTTGGTTTTGTAGATCGTGGGTGCCTGGATGGCGCGTCGTAAATTCCGAGTGCCTGGTTGTAGTGGTACGGGTGCCTGATGGTTGGAATGTCAGACGGAAGGCAAGGTGCAGGTGCACTGGCGTTGGGGCGCCGTTCCGAGGACGGAGGCGGTGGCGCGGGGGTTGAGTCACTTTGCCGATGTGGGGCACGGCTTCGGCGCCGGGTGCCGGGTGTCAGGTGACTAGCCGGATTCGGTAAGAAGTTCTTGCAGGACGCTGGGTGTCGAAATACTTTTGTTGGAATTTCTGTGATGTTCGGGCAGCGATTGGAAGAGTATACTTCCTGTGGGACTATGTAATTGATGAACAGATGCTTGCTAACGATGCCTCTAGTTGTAAGGCACTTGGGTCCTGATGTGACCCACGTCTTTGATTAATTCCAGGCCTGCAGTTAACCTCGACTCGTTGGTTCTTCGATTTCTTGACATCTGGGGATTCTTAGAGGATGTTATTACCTGGGAAATGATTCTCCCTGCCGAACTCATACACCTTATAATCGTCTTCGCTGTCGTCTTCTCCGCTGTCATCCTCATCGCTATCGTCCTCATCGCTATCGTCCTCATCGTCGTCATTGTCGCTCTCATCACCATCGTCCTCATCTTCCTTATCCTCATCTTTCTCTATATCATCACCCTCATCATCATCACTCTCATCGCTCCCATAGCCCTCCAAATCTACCCCAACCCCCCACATCGCCTTCCACCGCTCCAACACCCACAGCACAACAATCGTCAACATCCCAACAATCATCCCAAAGAACGCCAACCCTCCGTACGCCACAGGTACATACTCCCAAACCACCAACTCCACCACCGCATCCCAAGTAGCCATAAAACACAGGTACATCGTCGCCCGACTCAGCACACTCCAGCCCCAGAAGCGAAGACCATACCATAGCCTCCTGAAGCACTCATACTTCCCGTCCTTGGGTACTCTTTGGGCGTCGAGCTTCGTTTGCGAAATGTACTCCACAAATGCGCAGTTGACTTCGCGGAGAACGAGTAGTAGGGAGGCGTAATGTCCCCACGTCATTTGAAACTCTTCAACCTCGTTAGAAGGCGCTGCCGAGGCCGAGTCATACGCGGCAGAGAGGTCCTGTGCAGGCGCGACGAAATAGACAAACGCATTGATCCCCAAAGAGATAATCTCCCACGTAGCAATCCACTCCCTCCTCGGAATCCGTCGTCTCCTCTCGCGAAAGAAGTGAACAGAGAGAATAAACCACAGCACCACGGCATCAACCCAAATCGCAGACACCAAGTTTACTAACCCAGCGATAACTCTATCCACGATATGTTGGTTCGCGTAGGCGAAGATTGAGAAGAAGGCAAAGATCCAGGGATGGGGCGCGATCTCCGCAATCAAGACCAAGACTACCGTGGTAAAGAAAACGTAGCTCATAAAGGGTTTGATGAAGATGGAGGTGATGGTGTGGAGGATAATGTCGTCTAAGCAGCCGCAGATGAAGTTTTTCGCCCGTCGGGAGATGAGATCGGGGAGAGATTGGAAGTAGGTATATACACCTCCCAGTTTGCTGGTCTCGTTTTTGGATTGGTCCATTGTTGACGGTCTTTGTCGTCGATTTCTGGTCAGTTGCCTGGTGGATATTTGTAATGGGGCTGAGGTTGACTTACGGTTAGATAACGCTATTCCTAGTATTCTCTTGCAATTTGATGTCAATACACGATGAGATAACACTAGAGCTAAGTTCTTCTCCTTAGTTTGGGTGTATTCGATGGTGCATAAGTCACAGCTGAGAATAAATCCTACAGGAAACCTGACTTGACTTATAGCGTTGGGACTTTCCATCTCCGAAACCAAGACCATAGTCGCGAGGCATCGTGTTGGACCAGGGCCATCGGAACGACCAACACGTCAACGGAGATACATCAAGCCTTTCGCACTCGAAGAGCCAATATCGCTAGGGAGTTTTCTCTCGCGTTCGGAGATCGCGACCATTTGGCCTTTTATAAGCGTTGCCGTGCACAGGAGAAGGAAGGAAAGCGGCAACCAAGTTGTTCTCAGGCAACATCATCCAGACCGATCCATGAAACTGTATCGAATAATCAAATTCCATGCTTCTCAGAAACTGTAGAAATTCTCAGTACATCTGAGCGTTACGACCGTCGTGTCATCAAGCTCACGTACGGACGATTTTGGTCCCGAAACTTCACGATGGGACTCGAGAGGACGTCTATAAAGTCACATGAGCCACCTGAGCGGCTACTAATAACGGGTCTCAAAACCTTCATAGTCAAGGTACCTGCGCGATGTGTTGTACCATGGACAGACGTACTCACGGTAAGAAACATTCGGAACTCAGAATCATGAACGCACGCATAAGCACGAGATGGAAACCCAAATACAAGCAGGGAGAATCAGAGAAAGATGCGCCAGAATCTCAAGCCCTCCAACTTCATCTGGCCGAAAAGCCCCTGCCGTAGACCGTGGGGACGGTCGCTTAGGGAACAAGCTGCCGTCAATGATACCATAGAGCCATCCATCCATCCATTATGTCAAGTTCACACAGGTACCACAGAGTCACAGAGCACCACAGTTCAACGTATCTTGAGCTCCCTGCGTTCCCACCCGAAATCCTCCGGACATACATGTTCCTCACTAAACCAAATCTCGAACATGCTTAATCTCTGCCAAGTCGATCCGCCATCGGACGACACCAACCCTAGACAAAAAAGATGAGCTTGTCCCGATAGGACTAACGATCCAATGCACAGACAGAGAGCCCGAGACTCGTTTGGCAACTCGTTTTGCGTAGTTCCGTAAGATTCCCTCGCAATTTCGTCCAAGTCGTTCAAACACGACCGAAAAACATTTGCTTCCGTGGGGCCAGGATTAGTGTTCGTCCACGATCCAGCCCTGGCGACGTATTTCTTTTCATCTGACAGGGACCACAATGCTTTGAATCCAAAAGTCAGCCCCGACACGAGGATAAACTCTATGGTGCCCTCATCTCGGTCGTCCATCAACTTGTAGATCCGCTCCTTCGTCATGGAAGCCCACTTGAAGGTGAATCCATCCGCGTACCGAAGTGAAACTTGTACAGCAGGCACAAAACACACCTCATGTACGAGCGAACGATATTGTGGGGTCCATGGCAAAAGCTTCGCCAACTCAGACTCCTGCGAGACATGCCATCCCAGCCACGTCCAACTCTGCCCCCCAGCGCGTCTTCGGGGCCACAGCGCCGTTGATGTATCCCAGAGCAAAGCCGACGAAAACTCGCAGTTTTTTCCAATCTTTATTCCACAAAACAGGACAGACTTTCCCATGTGCCCATGGTTGTAATGAGACTGGCATCCCTGAAATGCGCGGAAGACGTCTGTCTCAAAAGAAAGCTCCCGTCTTACATAGCTTCTCGCGTGTGGAATTGAACCTGGCTCATATAGACCATCCCAAGCGCTCCCGTTCTTTGGGCACATTTGATTCGGCAGGCCTTCGATATAGCTTTCTCCCTCCTTGCCATTCTCTAAAAGGGCAAAGTGGTCGGTAAAGTACAGTCGCCTCGTTGACAAAGCTGCCTCCTGATAGGTCCAAGCTCTCGTATTCCACTTGGAGTGCTGGATCTGCTGCTCAACCCATTCTGCTTCGGTGGGCTTCCATCTGATGGTATGAGATCCGATTTGGATAGTGTGAAATACTTTTCGTATTGTCTTTCCAACCCCAGGCAGGCCATAGTCCGGGCATCGGCCTGCTGCAGCAATGATCGTGATGCACGACCGGGCATAGACGAGGTTCATGTTGCGGATCTGGTCGTTGGCTTCTTTTGCACAATGCTGAGGGATGCAATAGCGATCGATCCAAAGATATCGGAATCCTAGTGCAGCTGTTACAGTCTTTGCGTCTTCGATGACTCGAGGCACTGATGCGGGCAATTTGCGGCCAGGCCTTAGACAATCGCTCTGTGCGGGCCCCCAAACATAACTCAGGGTAGCGTACTCGACTGCATCGAAAGACCCCACCGACGCGATGCAATCCTCGAGGTTGACAATTTCGTCCGTGAAGCAGTCTATGACACTCCACCCAGGAAGTCCCCGTCGAAACAGTCCTTCCCAATTCTGACCTCCCTCCGATTTGAGATGATGCGGGCAAGCTTCGCGCGCCAAGGCAGACTTGATGGATATTAAGTCTGCTGATAGTTCGGGCTCTGGCTGGCTGGGTTGAAGTAACTGAAATGTGCTCTTTTTGCCGGAGAAGCTGATCTTACTCGCCATGTCACCATGACTCGAACTTGGCTTACGGTCGACTTCATACAAATGACACACTTTGAGCTGTGGACGTGTAACTTTCTTGTCCGTCATTCGCAGACCATGACATTTCTGCGAAGAGTGCAAGTAATACACAAGGTAAGTGTGTGGCCCTAGAGAATGATATTTCCTGAAAAGCTTGTAGCAGGGACAACCAGAGTTATTCTTGGCGTGATCGACTTTAATGCCCACCATCTCTACCGTGCCGTTGAGATCATACACCATCAGCGCAAATGGAGAATCCGGGTCATCCCATCTGACGAAGCGTTTGTGAAGTTCGGCTAATGACTTACCCACCACATCTTTGGCATGATTAATGAAGGCATCAAAGTCGATGGATGCACAGGCCGAGCAGAGGTTGTTTTCACCGGATAAGAAGGAGGTGGCGCTTTCTGACATTGCTGTCACTGGAAACATTCGGATTTGGTGAATTTGGTGATAGCGGTGGGTTGATGGCGAATAATTGGAACTTGGAACTGAGCTCGAAACGACGACCAACAGTGAGGCTGTTGGATTGCTGCCTTGGCCAAGCACCAATCATGTCGCAGATGACTTCACGCGAAGCCTGACCTAGCCCTTGAGAGCTTTGAATGGTCCGTCCCATCGTGTCGAAATGGTGATTCGTGGAAAGGAATGTTTTGATCTTGATTTCGAAGGACGGAATTCGTCTTGCGTCAATTGATGCGCGAACGGTGTTCATCTGAAGACAATGAAGGCAACCATTAGCTGTCCGACGGCCCATCTTTGGACAAGAGGTCGATGGGCATAGCTGAAGCCTCGAAGGAAAGGATACAGATCCGAATGCGAGCGAGAACTGGGTTGCTCAAGATCCAACCAACGAATCGAGGGACTAGGAAGAATGGCCATTGTCGCTTCGCAAACCTGCATCGATGCAACCTTCCCCACCCCGCCCATCCTCCGTCAAGTCCGTCCGCAAGTCAACCAGGACGGCGGCTCGAGAGCCAGTCTAGGCCCCTGCAGCAGCGTGTTCGATCTGGGATGGGCCGCGGGCGGGACAGGCAACCTTGTCACATTGTTAGTTGTTGCGGCGCAGAGATTTCGCACCGACCAGGTAATTGGAGCTGAACGATCTATCCGTACTGTCAAGTTGCAGCTCCAGGGAAGGCCATAGATTGCTTGCCGTCTTGGCGAGGGGTCGAGCCTTTCCGTATCCACTGTGGGGGAGAGGAAAGAAGAAGGGAAAAGGCCTGGTTTGAAAACGACATTGAGGGCAAGCCACAAAGAGCAGGCCAGACCAACGGGCCCATGACGGATCACATTCAGACCTGTCCACCCAACTTGCATGTATTGGCGAAGTCAAGTAATTGACGCATGGGTGGCCTGAGCTGTCATTCCCTCCGTCATGCCCTCAAATAAAGCTCCAACGTGCTGTACTTTGGAGTTTCGCCAAGCTCCTGTTTGTGCGCCACGGCCGAGCGTTGGCTGATGGTGAATGACCAGTGCCTCGTACAACTGCAGCCGCAAGTTGCCTCCTTGTTCGTCGCATGATGCAAGTTCAGGCTGAATCTGCGCTTTTAAAGATCGGTCCATCTCCCAGAATCCTCGTCAACGTCTTGATGTTTCGAGTGGCGCAGAGTCGACAACAAAAGAGCCCGACAGCGTCAGAGCAAGCTCTGATCGGAACCGACCGAGGCTGAAGCATCGGAGCGAAAGGCGGTGGCCGTTTTTGACTGCGTACATCGTCCAATGACCGCAATGACGGGGCTTTCGACAGCAGATGAGCAGACAAGCGAGATGCTGTTGGCATCTGGTGGAACCGCTAGAACACCGTCTCTAGAAGGGCTCCAAGACAAAGAACACAAGGCTCATGTCTCTATAGGCATCGGATCTGAGACACTTTCTGCGAGCAGACACGAGCTGCCAGCTGCTTTTGCGACGCGAGAGGATGATGGCATCCCTGGTCAGGCATGGACCTCAAAAAAGCAATATGTGGCGCCCGACGGTCAACTCGTGCTCCCGCAACACGAGGAGGGAAACTCCGGGTTCTCTTCTCAACTTGCAGAAAACACAACAGAACCCGCGATTGCGCATTCAAATCAGCAACGAGTGATCGACTCAATGACGGACGCGACAGCATCGACACCAGCAAAGAAGGAGAAGCCGCCCAGGCTCGATCGGCTACCCGACGACCCCGCGGCGGCCAAGCCAAACACTAGCGAACCCACGGAAAGGACTCAAGCAGCACCCGATTTTGAAATTGCCAACCGGAACGCATATGAGGCGAACCAACACCTGCCTCGCGATGCATTTTCTGCGTTGCGGTCACCTTTGACGCATCCCAATGGCGTCCCGATTTTTCCAGATCTGTCGGCCGAGCAAGAGGTCACAGAATCGTCGGAAGCCGCAACGCAAGCCGAAAGCTCCATCGTGGCAGACAGTGACGACATGGCGTCGATTTTCGACGGCACAGAGTCGGATGGAGGATACGGCAGCGACAGTGCGACAAATGCCAGTACGTCCGTCACGTCGTCAGTTCGAGATTACATGTACGAGAATGGGCGACGCTATCACCGCTTCCGAGAAGGACTGTACAACTTTCCCAACGACGAGGTGGAGCAGGAGCGCGAAGATATGAAGCATGCCATGGTGAAGCTCCTTTGCAATCAGAAGCTGCATTTTGCACCCATTGGCGAGTGGCCGCAGCAAATCCTGGATATCGGGACGGGAACAGGCGCGTGGGCCATTGAGAGTAAGTTGGGAGACTCTGATTCTGGCAGAGTTGATGAAGAGTTCGTAATGCTAACGACGATGTAGTGGGCGACCAGTTTGAGAGTGCAACAGTGCTGGGAGTCGATCTCAGCCCCATTCAACCGGACTGGGTACCGCCAAATGTCAAATTTGAGGTTGACGATGTGGAAAGTTCGTGGCTGTATCCGAGGAATCATTTTGATTATATCCATTCTCGACACACGGTTATGGCCATCAAGAACTGGAGGAACCTATTCCACAGGGCATATGAGTAAGTCTTACGTCCACGACTTGTCAATGACAGGCCTAACACGTTGATAGACACCTGAAGCCTGGCGGCTGGATTGAATTGCAAGAGATCCATCACTTCCCATCATCGGCATACAACGCCATGCCGCCTTCACACCCAGTGGCTCAGTATTGGAGTTTCGTGACCCAGGGACTCACGAGCCTCGGTATCGACTTTAATGCTGCCGCAGGTGATCGGCTGCCCAATATGATGCGCGAGGCCGGCTTCGTCAACGTGACGGAGAAGATTTTCCACGTGCCGCTTGGCACATGGCCGCGAAACAGGGTGCTCAAGACAGTAGGCATGTACTGGAGGACGATTCTTCTCGACGGACTGCAGGCGATTGCTCTCGGCCCACTGACCAGAGGGCTGCTATGGACCCCAGAGCAGATTGAAATGTTCCTCGTCAGCGTGCGGCGGGCGTATCACGATAATGCGGCCTTGATGTACATGCCATTGAGGATCATGTATGCGCAGAAGCCGGCGTATGGGGATTTTCCTAGGTATTCGTAGTGCACTGAGGAAGAGCTCTTAGGTATCAGTCTTAGGGCGGACTTTGCCTAGAGATAGGGTCTGTAGCTCCGTGGAGGGCCATTAGCGTTCAGTATTGAGCGAGTGTCTGTTCAGAACTTCTGCAAGCGGAGTGGGTTTGTGCGACTTTGACGAGTTTGGTGATGTGTAGGTTCGGTATGGTCGGTATTACGGACGTATCATGTATGGGTTTCTGCTTGGCGGGGGGATGTGAAGAGTGACGAGATGGTCGGCTAGAAGGTGCACATGGGTAGCCGCATCGTGGCCGGGTCTTGGCGACGAGAGGCGAGATTGCGAGAGGAGCATAGTTTTCGTGATGAGGTGACATGGGCGAGCGCTAGACAACGAGCTTCTGCGGTGTCTGATGGAAGAGGAATAGGATCAAGTAATGTGGTGCAAGCCGTGGCTTGGGAGGAGGAGAAAGGAGGGCGGAAGACGGGCGGCATTGGCTGACGGAGCACGTTGCCGTTGCATTGCAAGAAGACGACCAGGGATTTCAGGACGCCATTTCCCAGGTCCGGAACGGCGGGTACCCTCTCTCGTGCTTTTTAGCAGGGGAGGAATGGATGGAACTTGCATGGAAGCCGTCAATGGTTCAGTTCTTAGGTTCCTTCCGAAAGAAAAAACAGAGAGAGACATGTCCATACCCCGTAGCGAGGGCAAGAACCACTTAATTCCCGCTGTGGTTGCAGGTTGAGACTCCACCTGACGGTAAGCCTCAAGATATTGGGAAAGTCCATTGGTCAATGGTTGGTCAGGTCTTTCCACGTTGTTGACGGGATGGAAGGACCGGGTTGTGATGGTGCTGTGCCGCACCTTCCCAACACTGTCAACTTGTCAAGCCCAATTGGCAAGTGCGCAGGACAGCCACGCTTGCCCAGTCACCGGTGTCTTGGAAGCCGCCCGTGGGAAGGTGCCTGCCGCCTGAGTGGTAACGAGGCGGGGTATACCCAAGGTACCTTACCTCAGGTAGGTGGAAGGGAAGGGACAGCCCGTTGTGGTGCACCCATACTGCAGGCAGTGAATGACTGGCAACTGCACTCGTCTGCACCTTCCATGCTTTCCCCTCCTTGCCTTCCTCCCTGACTCAACCAAGCCCAGGTGCCACTGGTCAGTCTGCCACGCTGCCACCTACCAGGAGACGCCAGACGGGACCTGGGAGGATTGCCTTCCCTCCCTTTCCTATCCAGGAAACCTCCCACACAGCCCAGGCCTGCCATCGATCAACCAGAAACTTGACATCTGACCACGGCAACTATGCGAGGAAATATGACCAGTCTATTTCCCGTTTCTTCCTGTCACGTCTATTCCGAACCCACGCCGGTCAATTAACGAACAGGTTCCCAAATCAACGGCACTGCAGAACTCCCCGTCCAACGACGGGCGGGATTCGTCAACGAATTGATACGACGCTGCCACCGGTCAAACTACCTCACCTTACCTTACAGGCTCACAGTCCTTCCATGGGAGGGTACTCAATGGCAACCACCCCTTTTGTCTGCCCTGTCCCATTTGGTTCCAATTTACCCGTTCGACTCCCGGCCGGGCCCCTGTCCGTCTCGCTGATCCCACTTCTCCGTCATCAGTCATCAGTCCTCATACGGTTTCGGTCTCGGTCGACTTTCAACTCTGAACGGACAGCTCACCATGACATTTGTCGACGATGCCATTCCAGAATTGCTTCGCCACGGGACCTGATGAGCTTAACAGCCATACAGCTTAGCTTGGGGGAGCTTGGGACCCTGAGCGATCGTCGATGGCTCCGCGCCGGCGCATGGCCTTCGTCCGAACAGACTCTTCTAGCCGCCAGCCACTCCCAAGCTTAAAAAGCCCAGCGACTCAAGGACAAGGAGAGACTTGGACGCAAAAGGCACGCAACGCAGACGGCAATCCCAGCCCATGGCGTCGGATCCCAAAAGCATGGACCGCCGCTAGCTAATGAGGTGTCGTCGCAATACTGAGCGATTCAGCGCCCATCCCAGTTCCTGTTCCGTCCAAGGCCCACGCTCGGTGAACCAAGAGTTCCATCCTCGCTGTTTCGTTCCATTTGTGTCTACCTACCTCCCGTCAGTACCGTACCTCTCTGCCTCTGCCTACCTATCTAGCACTCTGGGTCCCTACCTTACCTAGTACCCATCGCCCAATGCTGTCCGTCTTATTAAACTGGGATGTATCCCTCCTTGCCGTCCCCTTGGGTCCCTCTGGTGTTTTGATGAGAGTTTTCGATTGTTTTCCCCCAAACTTCTCGGCGCTCACAAACTCATCACCGCAAACTCACTGCAAACTTGTTTACCAGACAATCCGTTCAGACCTCAATTTCCCGTGTTCGTACTTCGCAGTCATTGGCGAACTTGGTATAAAACCGTCACCGTTTCTTTTGCATGCCAGCTGGCCCTGATCTGTGTCAGTCGAGACCGAGTCCGTGTCCTCGGGTCCCTCTGTGTCACAATCGTTCCGAGCGTCGCCGCAACCCTGTCTGTCACCTCTCTCCGCGAATCTGTCGCCCAACCCATTTCAGAGGATCGTGGGAATCGACTATCGTATAGTTCTGAGGCATTTGGAAGGTGTGTACAAGTGCCTTTCTACAAATTCTTTCCCTCCTATCGCATGCCTCTCCAAGCAGCCTCCCGAATAGTCCTCTGCCCCCATATCTTCTTGCCCCGCAGCTTCATTTTCTGGCGCATCCCTTCACCATGTACCTGCCTTAGCCCAATCTAGCTCAATCTCAAGCTCGAGCACAGATGGTTAATGAAGGCGGAGTCTGCGATCAACGATGCTAGTGCTCCTGTATCTCAAGCGGGTGAACCGCCCCCTTTCCTGGCGCGTGCGATTTCCTTCACCCATGCTAACTGGAAAAGCACAAAGTCCTCTCGACACCCGCAGACCTCCAACATCTTTGTTCTGACTCCCATCGCAAAGATGAACAAGTTCAAGTTTAGCAACTGGCTGGGTACCAACCCGTCACCCACCGCCGCAGAGGTCGAGCAGAAGAAGCAAAACCGACGATCATTCACCCCATTCATCACTCGTTCTGCCGCCAAACCCAGAGACGATGTCCCCAATGGAACGCCGATTCCAAAGTCCACGCCTGTCGTCGCCTCGGAGAAGCCTGCGTATACGCCATCGAGGTTAATGGAGCTTGCTAAGAAGATTGCGTCCGAAACAGAGAAATTGGAGAGGTATATGCAAGAGAACAACCTGCCAATGCCCACCTTGGATCCCAATGGCCCCGGCGACTTCCCCAAACTTCCCGAGGACATCCAAAAGAGCCGTATGGAGATTATCTTTGCGACGAGAGAGCTCGAAGCATTGGCTCACGGGCCAAGAGAGGACGTTCGGTGGAAAACGTGGAGTGTGAGTAGAGAGATCGGGAAAATGGTAAAGGTCGCAAGCTAATTAGTTGGCAGTATCAAGACAGTCTGAGTCTTCAGCTTGTCAACCACTTTGGCATCGGTAAGCCCATGACTGCAGAGCTGGGAGGTTTCTCTACCGCACTCGAGACTAACACTTCCCAGCCAAGCTCGTACCCATCGACGGCACTATCACACTGGCAGAGCTCCAAACCAAGACGACAATGGACCCCGTCAACCTTGCCCGTGTGCTGCGTCATGTCATGACAAACCGTATCTTCCGCGAACCGTCCCATGGAGTGATTGCGCATACCGCGGCATCGCGCCTCCTGGCCGAAGACCAAGCCCTTCAGGACTGGGTGGGCTATAACCTCGAGGACAACTTCCCGGCGTCTGCGCATGTTTTGCAGGCTCTAAAAGCGTACCCAGAAGCCACGTCCCTCACGCGGACCGGCTTTAACTTTGCATTCGACACCGTAGACAAGGAACCAATGTTTGTCACCTTTGGCAAGGATCCTCCTCGTGCCAAGCGATTCGGCGGTGCCATGCTCAGTTTGACGGGCGGAGAGGGCTACGAGGTCAGGCATCTCGTCGACTCATACGATTTCGGAGAGATTGACGCCAGAGGAGGAACCATGGTCGACATTGGCGGCAGCCATGGATTCGTGTCGATTGATCTGGCCAAGAAGTGGAAGAATATGAAGTTTGTGGTGCAGGACCTTCCCAAGACTGTGGATTCGGCGCCAAGCCCGTTGTGCGACGACGCTCAGGTTGCAGAGCGCGTTCAGCTCATGGCGCACGACTTTTTCAAGGTGCAGACCGTCAAGGATGCCGATGGTGAGTTGTTTGTCTCGATCTGTTGCCAGGATTGCGTTGTGGGGAACGCCCCAATACTAACTGAGCCGCACAAACAGTCTACTTCTTCCGTTGGATCATGCACAACTACTCGACGCCCTACGCTATTTCCATCCTCAAGAACCTCGTTCCGGCACTGAAACCCGGCGCCAGGGTAGTCATCAAGGACCACTGCCTCCGCGAGGCCGGACAGGAGACGCCCTGGGACGAGCGTATCATTCGCAGCATGGACATGGTGATGCTAGCGGTGCTCAACGCACAGGAGCGCAACGAGGACGAGTACCGCGAGCTCTTTAGGGCCGCGGACGAGCGATTCGTGTTCAAGGGCGTGATGAGGCCCCCAGGCTGCAGGATGAGCATCATTGAAGCGGTGTGGGATCCCGAGACGGAGAGTGAAGGCGATGGCGAAGGTGGTAGGATTGAGGCGGATGCCCAGACGGACGCAGGGTCCGCTGATTCTGCTGTTGTCGTGGAGGTGAAGTGATTGCGATTGCGATGCGATTGCGATACGCTGCTGTGTATTCCTACCTTACCTTAGTTTTGCCCGGATGCGCGGGCCTCCCCTCCTGTGTGCGATACCCAGTTCTTTTTGTTAGATTGTTTGTTCAGATTCCTATTATTTCACGGAGATCCCCGAAATGATCGATCTCGGGGATCTAATCATAATGCCTGCACAAACAAACAAAAAAGCAATATGCGAGATCTTTGTTACAAAGTAGTGTTTGTGTTGTACCTATTGTTTGTCGAATGGATCGGAGGATCGGACCCCACATCGTGGGGCAGCTTCCATCCTTTCAGAGAGCAGAGCCCCCGCGGAAGTAAGGTACATGAATTGTTTGACGCGCACATTTGTCATCAGTCAGCATTGGCCTGCTGGCGAAATGGCATCGCGTCACATTTCGGCTTCTATCTTAGTCATACTGTGAAGATTGTAGGTTCGATCCCTACGTAGGTCGCAAGGAAATTATTTTTGCATTTTCCGTGATTTATCATGAGGTCGTTATTCAATTGAGGATAGCGATTTGGGCATGTTTATTTTAATTATTTTGGGGCAGTCAAATTATGGTCTGGGTAACCTCCGATTCTTTGAACTCAAAATTGAGATGGAATGAAACTCAAGTCTGCCAAGTAGCCCAGACCACCGACACGCACCACCACCACCACCACTGCTACTACCTTACTTATGCCTTCCAATACTTCTCCAACATCTCCCTCACAGTCAAAGGCTTAATCTCAGGAAACAGCTCATTCAACGACCCCTTTCCGCCCTCGACCTTCCCCAAGCCAGTCGCCATCCACAGCTCAAAAATCGACAGGAACCACTGTAACCTCTCTTTGGGGAACTGCGCATACGACGCCTCGTGGCCGGGTAACTCTGAAATCTCGGACCTCTTCAGCTTTTCCACGTCATCGTAGACCACACTAAACTTTTCGCCCTTGATCTCCTCGGCCAGCTTGACGAATTCGTTAAAGGTGAGTTCGTCGCCCACGATGCGAAGTTCGTGGTCTACGGGCCAGGTGGGGAGGTCCAGCGCCGCGACGACGTAGCGCGCCACGTCAAAGGTGTATGTGAATGTCACGGGGGTGTTGCCGTCGCCTGGGATCGCAGCGGCGGCGTGGGCGATGTCGAGGACGATTGTGCTATGCGGGTGGTGGGATTTGAGGGCGGGGGGAGCAAAGTACTCTAAGAATGTGCCGTTGTGGACGGCGGCGTATTCGAGGTTTGTCTGGGAGAGGGCGCGGAGGGAGGTGAAGTAGTGTTCCAGCGGTGGGAGGAGGGCGACGCCGCTGTGACGGTGGTGATGTGTTAGTTGGGGACTTTGCAGTAGAGGCAATGAATGATGGACAGGCTTACTCTTCGGGATACCGCATTGCGAACGAGCTAGGGATGAACCGCTTCGTCGCGGACGAGAGATCTGCCGCCTTGATGAGGTTCAGCTGCGACGTCGCGAGGGACGTGGCGGTGATGCCGAATGCGCTGATGACGGTATGAATATCGTGTTCTTCGAGGAACGTCTTGAGGGCGTCAACGTTTGCGTAGTCTATCTCGAACGTTGGGGCCAGGGGAGTCTCTCCTGGGCTGGGGGCCTTGCGGGAGAGGATGAAGGCTTGGTGTTTTGTCTGCGTGGCTAACACTTCGATGAGAGTGCGGCCTACGGCACCGGTGCCGCCTGCGATTGCGACGTTGACCATTATTGCGAGGTGGGTGGCGGTTAGATGGGCGAATGTGTTTGGGGAGCTGTTGTGAGGTCTTTTGGGGTGTTGGTGATGTTGGGACTTATATCTCGAGAGAGTGCCTCGATCTTCTTTCCGAAGAGATTATCATGGCATGATTTCGAATATGGAAATCAGTGATCTGCTCACGGTGTTAACGGACGTAAAACACGTTCGATGTAGTTTGCTGACATTTCCCCAGAATCGTCGGTTATAAGCCGTGTCGAACACCCCGTTGACGATTTGACTCCATTTTCTCGGCGGCCGCGGACAGCTTGGAGACATGTATTCTCGCGGGCGGCGTTGAGGGGCAGGTTTTTGTTCCGGTTGGTTTCTTGTTGTGAGCCGTGCCCGGGTCCGGTCTGACGGAATTGTGGGCATGTTGTTTCGCCGAAAACCTGCCTATTCTGGGTGCCACCGGGCGGGATGTGGGTGGGCTTAGGAGAGCCGGTTTCGAACTACCTGCAATATTTGGAGATGGACGATGTGTGTGATTGAGAGAATGACGATGATGGATTTTTGGAGTTTTGTAGAGTATTGGAAGGCTTCGAGGATGGGGGACGGAAAACGCTTCAGGTGATTACGACTAAATCTGCCATCCAAACGGCCCCTAGGAAGGAGGGGTTAGGAAAGAGAAGACGATCTTTCTTCCTTTCCCTTCCTGCCACAGTCGTTGAGGAGAATGCGCTTGAGGAGTTGTGAGGGAACTATAGGTGCGATCTCAATCTTCTCGGCCACCTTGATCCCACGCTTTTGGTTTGATTTCCTAAAGCCGATATGTTTCTCCTTTGGTCCCGATGAGCACAGTACCCAATGTAGGTAGAGAGCTATGTGGCGAAAGACAGGACTACTGGCGCGGGACGCCTTCTGAACCCTTCATCTGCTGTCTTTCTTTTTCGCGATAGCTTACTTTAGAGTGCAGTTGAGTCCCTGCCAGCGCTAATCGTTAGACTACATCATTTTGATGCCTCGAATCAGCTTCCAAGCTACTTCCACATATCTTCGTCCCGAGGAGATGTGGGCTATGTCGAGGGGTCCAAAGCGATGGAAAGGCGCTGGCGATTGGAATCACCAGCAGCCAGCGCAAAGATTACAGAGTTAAACATGGTCGCAATCACAAGCATATGATTCCTCATGGTGAAACGCAATGGTTCTTTTCTCCGATGTAAAGGCAGGCCCCCAGAACCAGGACCTGGCCCTCACCGGCCAGGCTCCGGCTCCGAGAGCCCGCAAACACGCAAACCCCCCCTTTTCCCCTCCCCCTTCCCTCCCCTCCTCCCCCTGATCTTCATCGCGCAGACACCTCCCCGACGATACCTAGCCAGCTTTAACAGCTGCTAGGCATCGCCGGTGGTGTCTGCAGGGAATAGGCCGAGGCCCAGGACAAGAAGGCCATGGTGGTGGTGGCGGCAGCGGCGGTGGTGTGACGAAGCCTCTTAAGCGCAGAGGCGCTCCTTGACGGCGGTGGCGGCAATCTCCCAGAAGATTCTCTCCATCCGACCGTCTTCGGTCAAGTCCTCCGGATCGAGGACCTCCTCGAGATCGAAGGGCTCGAGGAGGTGGGGACCGTAGTCCTTGTCCGAGTCGCGGTGGAAGATGATCCGAACCGAGAGAATCGCCTTATCGTTCTCATCGTTGTTTCCATCCGGTTCCAGAGTCATCTCATCCGACTGGGTCGCGTACACCTTGTGCGCCTCGAGACGGAAGGTGTCCTCGACCATGTCCTCGGCGTTCTCACGGTCGTAGTCGACGAAGACCATGTTGGTGGCGACGTTGTAGTTGACGACGTAGTGGTTGCTGTCGCCCTTCCACTCGTTCTCAAGGCCGCGGAAGAGTACGGTGATCTGGTTGATGTTGGGGTACTTGAGCTGGCTGACGTCGATGTTGGCGACGGGCTTCTTGTTGAGGAAGTTGTGGTAGAGAAGCGGGTAGTCGTGTCCGTCGGTCCAAGCGCTGAAATCTTCCATGACGATGCGCACCATCTTGAGCTGGCAGTTGATCTCGTCTCCAAGGTTGGGATTGATGAAGCCGGGGTAGAAGGCGGAGCCGGGAATGTCGGTCTTATAGCCAAGAGAAATCTCGTCGGTACGAGGGTTAAGGTAGATACAATCGACACCGGGAGCAAGGAAAGCCGCCTCGGCAAACTCGTAGTCCTGCATATCGACAGGGTCAATGAGATCAGGGTGGTAGACAATGGGATCATTCGGATTCTTGTCGATGCAAATGTAAGCCTTGAGAAAGGCGTGGAAGGCCTCCTTGTTGACGAAGGCAAAGGCAGGGTAGCCAGGGCGGCGCGCGTTGGCGTCTGCGTTCGGACCGATACCGACAAGCTGGCCAGAAGACTCGGCGACCATCTCCTAGATGACCGAACGGACTGCAAGCGGGAGGCGGTGGAGGCTGGTAGCGATGGGGGTGGTGTCAGACGAAGTGCCGGCATCCAAGGGGGAAGACGTGATCTCAATGACGGCGCCGGAAGCGTTGGAAGCGATAGCAACGTTCGAAGACTTGCCAACCGAAGGGCAGGACATAATCTCGATGACTGCATCAGGAGAGTCGCCGGCGACGGCGATGTCGGAGGAGTTGCCAACGGAGGGAGAAGACATGACCGAGACGACAACGTCTGCAAGGTTGTTGGCGGTGGCCAAGTTGGGCGAGTTGTCAGTCGATGGAGAGGAAGCGATCTCGATGATTACATCAGAAAGATTGTCGGTAATGGCCATGTCGGAAGAGTTGCCAACTGAGTGGGAAGACGTGTTCGAGACGACAGTATCTTCAAGGCTGTCGAGGGTGGCGATGTTGGACGAGATCTCAATCGCGGAGGAAGAGGTGGTCTCCATGACCGCGTCAAATTGCTCATTGGTAGCGACCGCGTTAGACGAGTTGCCAACCATGGGAGAGGACGTGGTATCAATGGCGATGTCGGAGTGGTTGTCGACGGTGACGTTATTGGACAAAGTGCCAGCCTCAGGGGAAGACGCGGTCTCCATGACGGTGTCGGTAGGCTTGTCAGCGGCAACAGCTTTAGACGAGTCGTTGGTAGAGGGACAGGACATGACGGTGTCAGTGAGCTTGTCGGCAGACTTGCCGGCAGCAACGTTAGACGAGTTGCCGAGCGAGGGAGAAGATATGGTCTCAACGACGATGTCAGGAGGATTGTCGGTAGGGGGACTGTTGGACGCAAGGGAAGTTTGCTGAGCCATCGTCGATTGTTTGGTAGACTGTGATGATGAAAGCTCTTGGTGTCCCTGAGTTGTAGGAAGGAAGAGAATTTCGGAAAGAAGGGAGCTCAGTGGGAACCCAGGAGTAGATTTAGACAGATATTCCGAGGGATGTCACATGATCAATGGGCTTGCTTAGTCGTGATGGCCTCCCGTCTGGTGTTGAGAAAGGTGCTTCAAAGCGGGAACCATCATCATCGTGAGTTTGGGCGGGCTGCTTTGTTGTGAGGTGCTCTCGCCCGTGATGTGGCGGTTGCTTGCTGGTGAGATTGTCGGGTGGGATGACTCCTCGTCTGGCGCTCAGACGATCACTTTCAGACGGATTCATACCTTCAGACGAGAAGGTGTTCGGACGAGTGAGATTCGGTGCTGCTCTCGGCTGTGGCTGAATAGAGTTATCCTCGAGTCAATCTCATCCTTGGTCTTACAATAGCTTCGTCTGAGAATGGCTTCAGTCCAGGCCCACACCCAAGATGAAATTGTCAGTACCAGTTCACTCATTCTTCCTGTCAAAATCCCTTCCAAAGGCAAAACAGATTCTTGTGAACTCGACAAAGAACCTCAAAAGACAGACTTGGGAGGGAAACTATATCAATGAGGTAAAGCACTGACAAGGGAACGCAAACGATTCAAGGAAAGTTCAAAGTTTTTTGAATCTTTTGGTATTTGTCGTCCTTTGTGAACATCTCCCTTCTCTGCCAGTTCTCTTATGGTCTCATATATTGGTAGTCGATCCAAGTGGGTACGGGAGTCAGTGGTTGAACAACACTGGTGGGGAGAGCAATGTCAAGAATGCAATATGAGAGAGCTTGATGAAAGGCGTGTTGCTACATCTCAATGACCAAACATGACGGATTTCTCTTCGGCCTCAAATCGAATGGAGGATCCGACACGACGTTTTGAAGACATATGCCAGCCGGAAGAGAAGCCAAACTTGCAAGCCCGCGTCGGCTTAGGATCTGACCAAGCGGACATCAATTGGCAAGACAGTGTTGGGTCCACTTCGACTGGGATAGTAAAATACTTCTACAAGTTAGGTTGAGAGACGACGTGATGGTTGAGTGATGAAGCAGAGCGAGAGTAGGAGAATAGAGGTATTTGCTCTCCTTTACGGAGAGAGCTTCGAACTCGGCTCTGAAGCCTTGGGATACCAAACAGTTGAATAGAAACGGGATCCTCTCATTTTAGCCATGAAATATCAAGTCAAGATCCTTCGTGCCGAGATCTCATAACGAGTGGGAGGACTTGGTGGAGGAGGAGGCGATCCTAAAGGATTCGGTTTGGGGGAAATCGGGCCATCTCCTTGTAGCATCTACGTAGCCACGAGGTCACAGATGAAGCCGAATTATCCATACCGGAATCGCTTCAACAGAAAGAAACTTTGGAGTCCGCCCTTCGACATGCTTAATAGTAGTAATGTGAAGACTTATCTACTGAAACACTGACTCTGAAAGTCCCTTGCGTACACACGTCTTGCTTCCTGACAGACTGAAAGTATCCGAGAAGGCGTTCACGACACCGATCACTCCTAACTTTCGCCCAGGCGCATCGAGACGTATTCCATAGCAATCTTCCAAGTAAGGTGCATCTTGTGGAGTCCATTGACGGGTAACTAGGCGTCAGTGACCCAATCGAGATTGCTGTCGCGTAAGATGTCGATGCGGATACCGCAACTATCATTCGGGTCGACCTTGAAGTAATCGTCAGGAATTCGATCGTTCGGCCGTATACCTCCAAGGTACTCGCTACGTAGGGTCGACTCGTGATAACAGTAGAGCCTATTGGTTGGCAGTATGTAACGAAAATAAACCCCCATGCCACGCAGGGATAATCCTGTCGGACCTTGCGGCGTGCTCCTTGGTATTGGAATGCAAAGCAGAGAAACCAGGTGGATGACCTCGAGACATGGAAATTGAAGACTGGGAAGTGGAATGGGTCCCGCTGAGGGGCAAAGGGTGAAAGGGCTGTAAGAAAAGAGGTTTTCGCCTCTATCAAGTCTTCGGTTGAATATCCGCTGCAGGAAGCAGGTGTCGTGTAAACGCACTTTTCGAAGTCGCTTTTCGATATAGCTCGGGAAGGTTGGCGATGTAATCAAGTCCCCTAAGCCGCCAACCTTTTCACGCCACTGAGGGCTGGCGAGCGCAAATCGGAAGCCCCCTAGTCTGTCGACGATCGTACCGAGAATGAGGGTGTCAACATCAGGATTGAGGTAGACATGGTCTTTGACAAGCCAATCAAAGGAACTTGTGTTATGAGGCATGCCCGTAGACTCTCTGATCAGTCGAATGTATATGCCCAAGAAAATTTTGCGACTTTCTCGATGAACAGCGGACATGGCGGGCAGACGACTTCTTCGGGCAAGCCAGTCCACCCTGGGGGCCACGGCCACGAGCCGTTCTTCGAGGGCCTCACGCCATACTATGCGTCTAACTTCCTTCGGCAAAAGTTTGAAGAGTTCGAATTCGACGAGTTCGGACATGATAAGCTGCTTTGGGTATCTTTTGCTGTGATGCGTGATGATGTGGCGATGAGACATATGATAATACGAGTAGACTGGTATACTGGGGAGAAGAATAGCAATGACAGATGCTGGCGGTCAGAGCCACGAAGGAAAACATGGGCACTGCCTCGCTTTCTCGTTGCTCTTACCCAACCTTCGATTAGAGACACATGCCTGCCATGCCTGAGGAGATACTACCTTCTCATGTTCGGCGAGTTGTCTATTGCCGCTTCCTTGGATGCGAATAGCCACTTGCCGTGCGAGTCATCGACACTACCTAGGTAGACACTTGTCCTCCGCAAGGCCCTTTCCAAGACGAGATCAATTTGCATGAATGGCCAACAAAGTGATGAGGCTGAGCGCGACTGAAGAGCCAATGAGTTCCCGTTGAGATTCGAATATCTAATCATGCCTTGGTCTCACTTCCATTGCATGTCTGTGAAAGTTGAAAAGTGATAAAGCGATCCCAGTGACTTATAACCTGATCCCTGTTATTCGCAAATCGCCCATAAGGCTTGCCGTAAATGTCCATCTTCCCCGAATACCTCAATCCCAAAATCCAATGAACTCCTTCGCCTGTGCCGAACAACCGCTCACGAATAACCTCAAGCACCTCCATCGCGTCTCAGCTTGGGACCAACGATGACCCTTACGCCCTGCTTTCTCTTCTTCTGCCGGGGCTTCGATACACCTCCACCAACCAACTCTTTATTGTCACCTTCACCGTCGCCTTCAGCGTTGTCTCCATCCTCGTCGTTAGAGTTCTTGCGTTTCTTCGAAGCTTTCTTCTCCTTGGCCTCCTCAATGCTCTCCTTCTTGCTCTCCAGAGCCTTGCGAGCACGCCTCTCCATGAAGCCGTTAGGGTCGATCTTGGCCTTGTCACTTGGCCAGTTGTATCTGCGCTGGATGCTCGTCTCCGGGATAGAGTGCTCAACAAGAAACTCCTTTTCGAAGCAGACACCGGCCTCTTGTTTCTTGTTCAATCGGCGAAGTAAGGCTTTCGAATCCCATAGTCTCTGAGTGTTGTGGTTCCAGTCTGCGCTAGTGGTCTCGAATAACAGGATCGCAATGTTAGAGAATCCTCGGTCCTCGTATGCGACAGCGAATTCCACAGCTTTTGCGCAACTGTTGGTAGCTGAGAGGAAGGGGCTCGGTTCACGACAGTTCCCGCGTAGATGCTTCCTCAAGTGGATGTGGAGGAAGATTGGGTCGCTTCCCCCTCCCAGCCGAGACTTGATGCCTTGGTGAGGTTGCCCGCCATGGACTGTTCGGTAAAGTTGCTCCGGGCGCTCATCTCCACCCACGGTAGACACCTTTTGTGTGATTGAAAGTAGGGCGGTGCCATTCACGCAACCGGTGTTTCGAGATTGCTGAATGATGTCCAGATATCCGGGAAATTGATTTCTGAGAACTGAGACGTAGTCAGGAAGGACTCGAAGAACCCAGGGAATGTTGTGGGTCGTGTTTTTCGTGAGCCAGGCTTTGACGTTGCTGGAGTCGTTGTCAGCGATCTTCTCACTTGTGAGCTTATATCGCGCCACCATAAGCTCTTTGCTGGGGACATAAGCCATTCTTGGGGATGGCAGGAGCTTCTTGCAGCTCACGAAGCTCAAATTTGAGAAATTGCTTGCAAATTTTGAACGATATATAGCAGTGGATATTCTGTGTAAAAAAGTACGGTAAAGATGAAGCTCGGTAGGTGAATGAAGATAGAATCGTGGAAAAGGCGCGATGCTACTGTGGCGTTCTTTTCTAGTGAGGTTGAAATTGGAAAAAGAGGAAAATTATGAGTTGAGAGAACTCATGAAGAGGTTTTATAGAGCCTCGAGTGAGTTCTGAGTCTTTCTGTGGAGGAAGGAAGCGAGGGTGGGAGGGGATAAGAAGAAGGAGTTGACTTCGTGAGGTGCTCTTTCCCCTCAGAAGGATGTTTGAAAGAATCAAATTCTCATATTCTCCTCGTGGAAGGGCCGTATGGGACGGCGGTGCTTGCCTGGTGGTTCTGCGCAGATGTTATGCACCTGAAATGTCACCTCAAGCAGACGCTATACTAACTCTTCATCAACCAGTTTGTGGTTTCGTCCTCTGAGCCAAGACGCTCAATCGATGAAAAGAGATCTCCATGAATTAATCACACTGCCGCGATTCTTGTGAGTGATGGAAACTCTCTGGAAGTAGCTACCTTCGTCATCATGGATGGCCCTTTCGACAAAGAGCGTATCTGGAGATGGGCTACGATGCTACGGAAATTGGATAAGAAAAGTTGAACTGTTGAGACGGCCCTATGCTTCAATTAAGGATCGTTCAAAGGTCGGCTGTCTGCAAGATGAAAGTTGAGAATACATTTTGGGACCTGGTGCCGGGTACCCGATCGCCCGCCCGCCCGTCTTTCTCAAGGGTTCAAAATAGCGCGGAAAAGGAGGCTACTTGGTTCACTTTCGAGTCTTATATTTCTCATGTTCTATGACATAAACCTAAACTCAAGATATCTAGGCAAACGCCGAACGGCTCTCATCCCAGTCGGGTCTCAAAGACTTGCTGTCGAAGCTCATATCGAAGCTAGAAGTATGGACGTAATCCGCCTGCCACTCAACATTCAGCGCAACACCCTCCGCAGCCTGACTCCAAACAGTGACAGCAATCGTGTTGTCTCCGTTGTAGTTGAGAATACCAGTCGGAACAGGGAACTGGACCTGGTTGCCGATGTACGGGTTGAAGCGACCGTACTGGTATCCGTTGACGAATAGAAGTGCGCGAAGGCGGTTCGTATCATCGGTGGCTGCAGTAAGGCGGAACGAGATGGAAACATCGAGACCAGCGGGGACGTCGAGCGGGACGACGGTACGGAAGACACGGATGCCGGCATCAGGAACGGAGAGAGATCCGTTGGCGGAGTCAAAGGACTCCCAGTCTGCGTCGGGGTAGCCGGGGAGATGGGCTCCAACGCGCTCGGCGTACAGACCGCCCTCGTTGATGGGACCGCGAACGGGGTCAATGAGGTCGTTGCGACCAGCGGTGCCGGCGATCTTCCACTCGGAGAACTTGTAGTTCGCGGCGTCGGGGCCGAGGAGGGTCGCGTTGGTGATTCCGCGGGGTGCGAGGGCCGCCTCACGCAGGTCGTGGCCCGAGTTATCCATGATGACGACCAGGACGTTGTCGCCGGTCTTTGACAGAGTCGCATTCTCAAAGGAGAAAGAGCTGGCGTCTGCGCCAAGGTAGGAGAGGCCGAGGTAGGAGCCGACGTACTCGGAGTTGAGCCAGACGGAATAGCCGAAGGCCAGACCGCCGGTGACGTTAAGGAAGACGCCGGTAGGGGCGGATTCGGCAGCCGGGAAAGTTGCACGGTAGATGTGGTTTCCGACGTGGATGTCGTACTCGTCTACGTAGAGGACAGGGTTGTTGGAGGCGGGCTTGACGGTGTTGGAGGTGTTGGTCTTGGTGGCGGCTGGGAGTTTGTTAGATTATTTTTTCTGTATAATGATGCAACAAGATATTGTAGGTGTCACTTACCAACCCAGCTGTCAGAGGTGGCTTCGTAATCGGTAGCGATCTCAGGCAAGCTGTCGTGAACCTTCCAGGGGCCGAGCGCGGGGACCTCAAACTTGGCAGGCCCCTCAATCTTTGCGGTGAAAACATTACCCTCTCTCGAAAGGAGCTCGAGCTTCTTGCCATTCCAGGTGATGCCACAGATGGACTCAGAGGCAAAGACGGTGATGGTGGTCTCCTGATCGGCATCTCCTGAGAGCGCCAGGCTGCGGCCAGTCTCGTTGAAGGCAGCGTGACGGACGAGGTAAGGTCCCTGGACGAAGACTGCACAGGGTTGTCAGTAAAGGTTGTATCAGATGTGTCGACGAACAAACTCACCAGTCTTGTTGGCCGGCGCAAAGGGGTCGTTGTCAAGCACGGGAACCCAGAAGAGGTACGCGGCGCTGCGGTCGAGAAGGACAGCGCGGGACCCATCTCCGAGGTCGACGAGCGTGATGCCCTTCTTCTGCGTGTACGCGATGGTGACGTTGCTCTCGCCGGGGTACACGTTGAAGTCGGCGACGTTGCCGTCACCAACGAGCTTGGCAGAGTTGACGCCCGTGACAGTGAACTCGCCAGCCTCGCCCTCGGGAAGCCAAAGGGCAATGACCTCCTGGCCGTCGAGAATGGTGTAGCTGAGAACCTCAGCGGTGGAGTAGAGAAGCGTCTTCTCGCCAAATCTGAAGTCGGTGACGAGGACCTTGGCTTGGTGGCCGTTGATGGCGATCGAGCTGCCGTGCTGGGGGATGGTGACTTTGGTCAAGTCAGCGTTTGATCCACAGAATGTGATTTCAGGTAGATGGAAGACTTACGGGCACCCTGAGAGGTGTTGACAGAGAGCTTGAAAGCCTCATTGGTGTTGGAAGGGGAGTAAGCATGACGGGCAACATAGAAGGCTGCGTTGTTGTCGACATTGCGGAGCTCAGACACGGTGATGGCCGAGTTGGTGGTGTAGCCAGTCCCCTGGGACAGGTCAGAACCTCACTTTTCTAGCATCACTGGTCCACTTACGTTTCCGACTCTCTCAGTCTTTGTCAGATCCTTGGCCACTACGAACATGTTAGAATTCATTTCGCCTCCCTCAAGGGTGAATGCTCTACGAACCTCTGGTGAAGAGAGTCAAAAGCTTTGTCTCGTGGAACTTGCTGCCGATGATTCTGTTTTCGGAAACCGGAGAAGAGTAGTCGTAACTCGAAGCTGACCCGTTCAGTTAGCACGACTCGATCTCACATATACACGTAAGATAGCGACGTGGACTTACCAACAACGGGACAAGCGAGCCAGCCCCAGTTGGTTCCACCAAACATCATGTAGAGGGAGATGGCAGTGACTCTCTGGTAGATGAGGTCGCGGTAGAAGATATTGGCAAAGTCGGCACCAATGTCGCTGGGGCAGCCGCCCTCGGGTCCGCCCCAGGGGTTGTAGGAACCACCCTGGAACTCGGGAAGGAAGTTGGGTTGCGACCTGCAAGATGATCAGAATTCTGATTTGAGCGCGTCTCAAGGTGAAGTACTTACGGCGACTGAACCGTGAAGTAAGAGTAGTAGTCTTGAGTTAGCTGCGAATTGGATGGTTAGCAAGGTACAGCAGTTGTGGTGATTCCGAGTTACTCACGTAGGGGATATAGGCTCCGTTTGTGCCGGTGCACTCGCTCAAGTTGCAGCTCCAGCACGAAGGGTAGCTGTCGACACCGACGACATCGACGTTTCCAGTAGCATTGGAAAAGTCTTTGGACCAGGAAAAGCCGCGCTGAGCAGTGTCAGAAAGTGGGAGTACACGATTATTCGAACAGATACACTTACCATGTTGGGCGCGTTGTGAGAGAGAGGCACGTCGATTCCATTCTCCCGGGCGCTGTCCTGGAGAAGCTGCATGTAGTTGGCGATGGGCGGGTTCAAGACCCTCTTAGGAATGTCCTTCCACTGCCCGTTGAGCTCGTTCTCGATCTGTGTTCCCACTTAGTCAATGCGCTCTCGTAAGGTCTTGGAGAGCATCGCGTACCTGGAACATGATGACATTTCCGCCGTTGGTGATCAGATGGGGCTTGATGATCTTGGAAATCTCTGACCAGAAGGGGGTCCACGCCGCAGTGTATCTCTCATCGTCGTTTCTCAGAAAACCGTAGGCGCCAGTGGTGGCCCAGAGAGGGAAGCCGCCGGCGTTGGTCTCGGCGTTGACGTAGGGTCCAGGTCTGATGATGAGGTAGATGCCGAGCTCCTTGGCGACGGTCATGATGGAGGTGAAGTTGTGAGCGCCGGTGTCAAAGTCCAAGACACCGGGCGTGGGGTTGTGGTAGCCCCAGTGGTTGTAGATGGAGAAGGCATTGAAGCTGTCGTCTGTATGTTAGCCATGAAATGAACTCTTCTACTCCAGAGATTGTATCTTACCCAGCCGCCTTGACCTTCTCGAGGAGATCTCGCCAAAGTTCGGGACTTTACGATATGTCAGTAAGCTCAGCACACTGCAGATGATGTTGAATTGGATCACGAACACAGGGATACGCCAGTAGTGGAACTGCACTTGTTAGCGAGACGATCTCAACATGCCATAGGGGGAGATTGGTTGCCATACCTCGCCAGAGAAAACGAAGAGTCTCTCTCCGTTCACGATGTAGCTGTGGTGATCCCTACATGGAGTTCGGTCAGTATAAACCCCAAAATCGTACCTGTGAATAAACTACGGGAACTTGCCATTGGACGACTTCATTGAGACCATTGTCGTGAATCGGCCAGTCAACATCTTGAGCTATGGTGCTCTGCGTACCGCAAAGCGATGCGGCAAGCCAAAGAAGGCCGCCGGCTTTCAGACCAAACCTCATCGTGGCGTTTTTTTGACTATGGCTGAAACTTGACAGATGCAACACGATAGCCGAACAAAAGGTTAAAAAAGCCAACAGCCAATCGAGAAACCGCGCGCGCAAGAGGAAGCCATCGCGTCTTCTTTAAAGGGCATCCTACTACCCTGCCAGTTCCCTGCCCACACCGGCCCCCCGGTCCCATCCGTTGTACCCCGGCACAGCGTAGCATCCGGACAAACGTGCTCGGTGTTGATCGAACCGACAACTGCGGGGAATCATGAGGGGGGAACCGGGGGGCAAAGAACTGGAGAAAGACGATTTAGACGATCAACCACCCCGGCTGCAACCCCCGCGATTCCTGTAGCCGCAGCAATCACTGACCCAAGGCACCTAGGATTGGTGAGCCTGATGTCATTGAATGCTTGGGGACTTTGCAGTAGCGTCTTGAAATTTTCGACGAGCCAATTTTAAGCGATCTTTTCACCGACGGGCATGGCTCCCGTTGTGCGCTGGACTGGATGACTGGTTGGATTAGCGTGCTCTCGTGAGAGAACTGTGCCTTGGCAGCCAACACGGCCGGATATTACGTCGCAACATCATGGGCCGACGGCCACTTTTTATGTCAATTCGGTAGGATCCGATCATCCGAGGTATGGAATAGAAGCAAAACATGCTTAAAGGTGCCTGCCTGGGTGACATCAGAAACTGATTGATCTCTCAATGAGGAGTATGTTGGCAGTGACCGTCTGAACTTCTGAAGATGCTGGGTCTTAGTTCGGGCCGATCTGCCCTTGCGCGACATGCCGGACGAACACTCATCCATGATACAATCCATGGTTGTTTTTAGCAAGACAATACATTTGACTTTGGCAGATTCCGGTGGGATCCTTTTACCCATGAGTTGTCTACTGCGCGTTAGTTCAAACGGTTCATGCAGTCAACTCGCATTACTCCAATGCAGTAGTGGCACAATAGCCCACAGAGTCAAAGGTCGGCCGACACTGCATCCCTAGAGTCTCCAAATAACATCACGCAACGACCCCTCATTATATTGGAGATCTCGTGCGGAGATTTGGGGCGGTCATGTCTCCGTATACAGAAAGTAGTGGCCGAGTTGCCGACGTGTTGCAGCATTGGTTTTCTTGAAATGCTCTCAATGTTTAGTAAAGCTTGGATAATCAAGGAGATCATTCGCTCAAGGGATTGATTGCAGTTGCAACTGAGTACCTATGGAAGTTGCAGCTGAATTTCTAGTCTCAATCAATGCCCGAAGCTTCCCAAGTACCTAATCGTAGTGACTCTCTCCACACCATTCACTTTGCCCCTTCCCGTGAGTCTGTTGAGAATGGAAAGAGACACTAGCACGCAGGAGTTGCGACTGCATACACAGTCCTGCACCCTATTCTGTTACACACATCAGCCTCTTCACACTCAAAGTCGACGGACGCAGTTGTGAGAATAGGACAGCCGCAAGACTTTGTGATGAACGACGTGGTAGTACATTGCGCGACGAAGCAGCTCTTGCAGATGGTACCGGTAGAGGTGATCTTGGGACAGTTGAGGGATGAGCAGGGCGCCGTGGTCGTTCTCGTGATGGTCTGAGTGACGAGTGCAGTGATGGTTGAGACTTCTCGCAACGTCGTCGTCGTCGGACTCGTCACTACAGCAGTCGCCGTCGTCGTGGCGGTAGTCGTGGTTTCTCGAGTCTCAGTTCTCGTGACCGTGACCGTTCTGGCTCGGTCTATCGTCGATGGAGTCAGCGTGATGACTTGACCGGATGCTTCCCTGGACCAGTTAGTCAGCAAAGCCCGCGATATACGGTACATGTGAGATCTAACCAAGCTGCCCAGCTAAGGACTACGCTAAAGAGGCGAAGCAAATGCATCTTTCAGTACTAGCTGTCCAGTGGAGGAGTTGAGGAAAGATGTCAGGCTGGAGTTGAAGCTTAGCGCCGGCTATACGAGTGGCTTCAGATCTTCGACAAGACTATGAACATAGATTGGCATTGGTGGAATATTCGTCTTTCTTATAGTTGAAGTCAACCTAGAGGGCAAGTAGGCCTTCACGAACATGCTTACCCTCAACGTTCCCCGGGTCGTATCAGGTGCTTTGCCTGCTCGTGTTAGCCATACTTATCCGGCTTCGGGACTTCTGGAACATACAATACAGCCTCGATTGACTTGAGCTACGAACCGAGCTGAATACAGGCAGCCTATAGGAAAGAAGAAGTGGAATTAAATCCTGTAGCCGAGTGTGCATTTGCTTCCAGCCGGTATAGCTGCATGGCGGCTGAACATAGTATTGCTCCCATGAAGGTGAATGCAACAGCGCAGATCCAATCAGAGCCGTCGTCCGAATTCCAACTTGCCGGATCTGGCAATTCGGAGGCAAGGGGCAGTGCGTGCAGATCGCCTCAACAAACCACCCTTTCTACGTTGGCGAGGTTGCGCCCTGTTGTAAGCCCCATCGGACGAACCGTGGTGCTATCTCAAGTGTAATAGTGCACAAACACAAACGCATTGCTTGACATTTCTGGGTTGGTCACCTAACCACGATTTATCTTCCCCGAGAGATGAGCAGTGAGCTCGAAGCTGTGCAGTATTGGCGCGACATTTCGAAGGGCAGTTCACAAGTTTGTGCGGAGGCTCTGAAGCAAGGGCAATACAACTATAATTCAATTGCTAATTGTGGTATATATAAATGGCTTATTCGAAATTCAGCCGGCACTTTGGCCAGCTTAGCATCTCCAGGAGGTGATCTGGTTCTCGTACTCGACGGTGCGAGGGTCGTCGGGAAGAGCGACGGCCAGGTTGTAGTTGTAAGAAGAGGTCAGGCCACGGTCATCGCCCTTGTTGTTGCAGCCCTTGTACCTTTGGTGAATTGTTAGTATGTCTTGTTTGAGGAGTTCAGACTTATTATCTAAAGATTACTTACTTGTAGAACTGGCACTTGCCACCGGTGTTGGTGGAGAGGGAAGAGACCTGGTCGTTGAAGCGGTCGCTGATCACGGTGGAGTTGGCGGCCTGGAAGTTGAAGTAGGAGACTTCAAGTCCAAGTCAGCACTTGTTCATCTCATTACAGTCGTAGAGTACTGTTACTTACCACAGTCACCGGGGCTGGCACCGAAGACGAGGCAGTCCCCGCGGAAACCCTGCTTCTGTTAGTACTGCTTCCCAACCGGCTAAGTCGTCTCTCGGAACTTACAGCATCGGTGCACTGAAGCACAAAGATGGTCTCGGGGTTGGTCTCGTTGCGGTTGGGGTCGGGCTCGCCGTCCTGGCGGGTCTGGAGCTTCTTGGGGGCCAGGACCTCGGTGTTGAGGAACTTCTCGTAGGCGGCAGAGTTGACAATGTCGTTGCCAATTTTGATGTTGAGGTCGGAGCCGGTGTTGCGCTGCACAAGGGGCTTGCTGACGGCGGCGGCGGAGACGGCGGTGGCCGCGAGAACGAGGGTGGTGAAGCTCTTCATCTTGGATGGAGTTTTGTTTGTTGTTGGAAGCGAACGTGTGTAAGTTTGTTGTTGTAAGGAATGGACTTGTTGGACGACTTGCGTTGGCTACGGGGAAACTTCAACGTCAAGCACGCCGGCCGGAGTGAAGTGAGCCGGCTTTATTTATCTTGACATACTGTAGGACCGGATGTCCCGCAGTAACCAAGAGACAAAGTTTTGATCATAATAACCGCATACAACCTCATCCCAGCCTGCCCCGCGAGCGCTGATGCATTCGGATTCGGTGATATTGCTTTGTGGGTCTATACCGATGCTCTGATCATCTATTCTCGTGGCACAAACGGCCGCCGGAGGCATTCGAGTGGGGGAAAAAGGACAGTTCTTGTTGGACCGAGTGTTCCGTCAGGACCGTTACGGCGTCCGTTGACGATTTAGACTTCGGAGAGTTAATATCGAGATGGGGCTCATCAGCGTCGCCAACTGCCGACATCCATGACAAGGTTTGGAGTTGCAAAATGAAAAGAGTGGAAATCTCATGGCTACAAAGGGGACGAACAGTCTGGGGCGAACCTGTTCGACGACTCAGTGGGCTTCTTTACTCCGTTCATCTTACGCAGTAGAGTGGTCTATATGCGCTGGCTCTGAGGTTGGCTTATTTGAATTAGGTTTTCGTCTGAACTAAGTCAACTGACTCGAAGATCGGACGGTTCAATAAGGATTCTCCCGCAACGTGAACCTAGAAAGGGGCCTGACTGCGAGGATGTTCATAATTCCGCACACAAGTCTCAGTCTTGGCTTTGGTCGTTTGGCCCCATTTTCTTCCATCACACTTATCCGTATGGATACACTAGGAAGGAAAAGAATGCCTCAAATCGCGGGGAGAGGAAGGAAGTAGCGTCCGTGGATCTCGATGGACACTAAGAAAAGTCTCCTAGGCTGGTGATCGTGGATCGTACTGCATGCACTAACCTAACGGGAAGAGTATCAACCAGACAGACGTTTCAAGGATATGTTCCCTTGACTTTGAACCGCAGTCCAACTGCCAATCTGGGCAGTCACTTTCGATTCGGCATGGGTCTACCGCTCCGATAGACTTTCGTATTCAATGACCTTTTGCGTTCCGCGGGGGTGCCCGCCCGCCCGCCCGCACTGTTCTTCGTTTGCCGGCCTTGACGCGGCGGAAAAGTTGCCCAAACACGTCCCCGACAACGGTTCAACCGCCGTTCAAGCACTTCTTGGCAACTCGGGGGTTGCGGGACCATAGTCTATCATTAGCACACTGACCACTCGGAGGATTCGACTTGTAGTTGTCTCTCCCACGTTTGCATCCGTACTTTACAGTGATCGGAATGATTTTTGGTTGTTGACATCCCGACCGCTCATCAATCAAAGACCCTGATGGTTTGAGCTATTGGGTCGCTGCGCATTGAATGTGTAGACCAAAGTCTCCGTATTCTGTTTGTTGCCTGTTCCCTTTCGGACTTTGCTCCGTTGGCTCTCATCTTTAATCATACGCCACTCAATTGCCGCATTGTGTAGGCAGATGCCCAACCGCCTAAAGTTGTACGAATACTCGCGCAAGGGGGACGACATTGAGGTTGGATTTATTCCAACCTGGCCCACCATTTAGGGTATTGTCGAATCTTGGCCTCCTTGAAGCCAACAGAAATTATAGCTGGGTACCTGATGTACGGAGTAGTCCATGTTCCCGCCGGGCTGTAGCTGAGACCACCAGCTCTTTTCAATTTCTAGCGGGCCTTCCCCAGGTGCTTTTCTCTTTTCTATCCACATCACCTTTCCGTCCCTGCAACACAGTCCTATTGCTCTTCTATAGAAGTCCATTTGTGGTTTCAATAGTATATGAGTTTTGAGGTTTATCTGACTCATAGGCAAAAACTTGGCTGCCTCGAGCCATCTCTTGACTATCAACAACCGCACACGCGACGACGTCGCAAACTTGTCAACGTACTCTAGGTCAAATGAGAAGCCCAACGCATATCCAAAGCTCTTGTAAAGGCGTACAAATCAGTTCCTATTGTTTCGATAATTCACCCGTAAGGCTCCGTGGCGTTGCTGCTGGGGCCGTGGTAAGGAAAGCTGTCATTTTTTAGTGGCCCGCTGGTTCAGGAGAGTCGGAAGAGTTGGAGGTTGAGTTTCTTCTTAAGAACAGCCATCGCGGCGATCTAACTTCTTGAGACTCGGGATAGGACCTATGCAGCTTAGGAAGAGAAGGACAAAGACGAGGACTGCCAGTGAAAAGCAATGAGCAGGAGTTTCATTCACCCAGCTTAGTCTGTCCAAAGTCATCTTGAACTTTAAAGGATTCCAGCCGAGTCCCAATTAGGAAACACGTACTGCAACTCATCTGATTGGTTGTCAGGATCGCCTCACAGAGCACAGAAACCTACGATTGGCTCGTCTCATCAAAGGAATGTGATCCTTGTTTCCCTTAGATCCTCGGGATCCTCCGCATCAACTTCATGAAAGAAGCCCGTTATCTCATCTAGGTAGTCAGAGGAAACCTCATCTTTAAGATATTCTCAAAAATCCATACCGTCTTCAGACTTCCGGCTTTCAAAACTCCTGCTTAGTTCTGCTGATGTTGATGTCCATGTCCTATCTTACCTTGCAACATTGTTTCCACCACGTTGAACTGCAGTAGTCACCGATATCATGGGTACCAAGACGAGATCACTCGAGCCTACGTTCGTGGTTCAGAGCTTCCAAGGCGCGCGTTCTCAGCTTCAATTAGAATCGCGGCCGGTGTCGAGAGCTTCGTCTCAAAGTACCGAGAAGGGCGAAACAAAGGCGTAAGTAGCATGTGAGAGACTTGTTCGTTGGGTTAGAGGTGTCCAGGGTCCATTGGAGCCAACATCGTTGGTACAAGTGTCTGGAGGAGATCGACCAAGGAAAAGCACGTGGCTTCATAGCAGGGGAACGGGATCATCTACCGTTCATCTATGGAACAATAACTAATCACTTCGGGTCTTAGAACTCCATCAAATGGCCAGCTTCACGTCTTCTCGCTTTCGAACCGACCCAAGCAGAGCCGTGCGAGCGCGCCCAAGACCCGGAATGGGTGTAAAGAATGCAGGTACGTTTATGTCAACTCTCTTATACTCGTATTTCATTCGTCCCCGTCCTCATTCCTCGCGACCGTTCCCACCCTTGATGAGGAGAATACGGGTCTCACGTGGTATCGCACATGTAGGAGACGCCACATCAAGTGTGACTTGGCCAGACCACACTGCATGAAATGCGTCAAATCAAACCGTATCTGCGAGGGCTACCTCGACTCGGGACTGCGGCTCACGCCACAGAGACACAACCAAGTTCAAATCACTTCCCGTCCAGCCGGCGGCGGCAGCAATGTCGACGGCGGGCAGATCACCCTTACCGCACAGCGCCGGACCCCCGACCACCGTGTCCTCATCACCCCGGGCTACGAGACGGCCCTCTTCCAGAACCAGCGGCAATGGGACTCGTTCCAATCCTTCATCGTGAACCTTGAGCAGGGCGCCACCGTCCTCAAGAACCATGTGGCGGAGATGACGCCGCAGTACGCTAATCACGAGATCGCCATCCGGGAAATCTGCTCCGGCATCGGGGCCCTTGGGAAGGCCTTCCACCCGGTCGTCGGCGACAAGCTCGTCAGCGCAGAGTACCGCGCCGCGCTGGAGCACTACGGCCACGCCGTCAAAGCCGTCTTCAGCGTTAAGGCGACGACGTATACGCTGCCGTATATGGTCCTGACATCGATGCTGTTCACCACGTTTGAGATGATGGCGGGGAACCCGGAGGCTGCGTCGAAGCATCATAACCATGCGGTGGCTATGATGGATCAGTTCATCAGTCTCCGGTTGGAGGAGGATGGCGTGCCGTTTGAACAGGTTCGTCTTTCTGAGCTCGAGTCTGCGCTGTTCGATACCTTGCAAAGACTCGATACGCATCCGTGGGCCCAGGGATTCGGGCCAGAGGGGATTCGCGTCACGGCGCAGGCGCGCAACTTCCCTCACGGGTGCAGACACAGATACAAGATGGAAGACATGCCGTCGAGCCTCACCAACATCACCGAAGCGTCGCGGTGGTGGCATCTAACGCAACACGCCATGATGCACTCTCTCCACGGCCTCAAATCCAAATCCCCCAACAAGCCCTCCGACGACCCTTCCAACGACGCCGCCATCTGGAAAGAGTCAGCCAACCTCCTTCAAACCTGGCATGCCAGCTTCTTCCCCCTCCTCCAAACCTCGCGCCAGCAACGAGACCGCAACCCGCACCGCTGGTTCCAAGCCATGACCCTCGAGTCCCTTTACGTCGAGAATCTGGCCGCCATCTACAAGCGTCACAGGCTCGACGCCAACGTCCTCCCCGCCGTGACGCCGCTGTACCGCGACATGATCGGCCACGCACTGCAGCTGGCGCGGAAGGAGAAGCTCAACGGCCTGGAGACGCTGGTGCTTGAGAATGATCTCATCCGGCCGTTGGCATTCATAGTGTACAAGTCCCGGGCGGACCCTGAGCTTATGAACGGGGTGACGGGCGTTTTACAGGAGTTTGTGGGGGGCGTGGGTATGGCCGAGTCGTTGTTGTACGTGTTTGGGTGCCGGGATAAAAAGATTCCTGTGATAGCGCTTGAGAGGGCTTGGGGATGGTATTTTACGTCGTCAGGAGTCTCTTCTGGGGCGAATTGTCTTGATTACTTGACTTGAGCGAATAAGTCTGTTGTCTCGGTTGTCTAGAGCAAAGCTGTGGCTGTGCTACTTCACTTGATACTAACCTTTTGAAGATGGCAAAGTCCTTCAAGCAAGAGATATTAGAGGAAACAAATCATTGCTAAACTAAGAACTGGATATCATCTCATCGCGCATAACACATAACTCTTCCAGCCCATCATATCTCCCAGCCCAACCCCACTCAGCCCATCACAAACGTCTTCATTTCTCATTCCAAATTCCAGTCCTCCCCCCTTTCCCACTTAATAACACGAAATATGCACAACGTAACGGATCAGAGATTAGGAGACAGTCTCGAGGCTCCGTCTTTCCTAAGGTACTCTCAGGGAAGGTTGTTCATTTTGATGCTGTTCTGCGAAGTCGAGTCCTTGCCGACGTTGTAGTGCTCAGAGCGCTTCGCGTTCTCCTCCATACGGGCAAGTCTCGAGTTACGCTTCTTCTGCTGGCTCTTGCGGTAGAAGAAGAGCGCGGCACCAATCAGCAGACCAACACCAGCGACGGCACCAATGACGATACCGGCAATCGCACCACCGGAAAGCTTCTTGCTTCCGCTGCTACCAGAGCCAGAGCCAGAGTTGGAGGCGGCGTTGGTCGATGAGGCGGAAGGCGAAGCCGTGGCGGCGATGTCGTCCTCGCCAGGCTCGGTGGCGTTGAAGCAGGGGATGCGGGTGTTGAAGTTGGCGGCCTCGACGTAGGTGATGTCGGCGCAGGCGTAGAAGGTCTGGTTGTGGGGCGCGTCCCAGTCGGCGCGGTAGATGATTTGGAGGGTTGCGTTGGAGCCTGCTGCGATGGACGAGGGCGGGTTGGGGACGTCGACGCAGGTGTGGCCTGGGTTCAGGTCCGAGACGGATTGTTCCTCGATGATGGTGGTGAAGTCGCTGTTGGAGGTTGGCTCTTGAGGGGCTTGTTAGTCATGTTGTGATGGGGAATAGGGGGATGTCGTGAGAGTGGAAAGGAGTTGAAGTAGACTAAAGGGCATGTTTGTCGAGTTCATACACTCAGAGTAGGATGGTGAGAGTTTCATAGACATACCGTTCTGATAAGAGATGGAGATCTTGCTGTTGTAGTAATCATCCTGAGCAACGAGAGCGACCTTTCCGCCAACTATTCATCGGTACTCGTCAGTCAAAGTTCTCATATTTTTTTTGCTCTTCGTCAAGACTTCCGTCCCGTGAATTTGACTCACCCAAGGGGAACTGGGTTCTGTTGGCAGCACCAGACTTTGAACCACACGGAGCCTGGTTGTCCATGTCTCCGCTCCAGACTCTGTCAGCCGGCCACATGAAGGCGGCGGGACCCATCTCGTCATCCTGCTTGGTGTGCTGAGCACAGGCGACCGAGGCGAGGCCCAGGGCCAGGAACGTCTTGAGAGAGGCGTGCATTGTTGCCGTGATGTGGGTTTTGGTACCGAGTTCAAGAAAGAAGCTTCTTTGACGGATATGCGGCAAAACACGCGATGCCTTGGACCAACAGAGAGTACGTTACGAGGGAATGCGTACGACGACTGTGGAGGGGGTGGGAAGAATTAAGAATTAAGGGGCGGTTAACTAGCATCCATGGGAACGAACCGGATGGCAACAACGGTCAAGTTATACTACTGCAGGTCTACCTGAGATTTTCTTCTCTTTGTCTTTGCAAGCCGACTGGTTGCATATTGCATGTAACCTGGATGATGGATCTATCTCACATGGTCCTCTTTTCCCCTCTTTGGGATAACCTTACACCAACCACCTCCGCTCGCACATGTCAACGGACAGAAGATGGGCTCACAGAAGTCACGAAGGCGGGATATCCGCTCAGAGAGGGAGGATTCCGCCCAGAAAGCGATGAGGGAAAAAAAAGAAGTCAGGCATGAGTTCAGTTCAGGCTTTCGCCAATAGCGCCCAGACAACCGGCGCCCAGGACATGGCAAGACTTGGCTGGATCCCGTTGGATGGGGTGGGAGGAGGCCATGGCCGCATGGATGAAGGGTGGTGTAGGTGGCGACCACGGAATTCTTTTGCATGGAAAAAAGTCTTGGGAAGTACCACTCAAGTCTTTCATAGATTCTGTTAGTATTTCCGTAGATTGATAACATAAACAGCAGAACTTTTGGAGAGGAGTATGGTCAATAAGGTCTGGTATCTAGATGGATTGATGGCCAAGAATGTGGATGGACAGGGAAGACCGCCGGGCGGCAAAATCTGGGAACGTGAATACGAAGCAGACAGAAATCAATCTCCGCCCCGCCTCTATCGATTTTCTCTCCCTCGCTCGGCCGCCGAAGGGCCCGGATACGTTTCTTTGTCACTTTGTGAGGGGATCAAGTGTCCAGGCAATTACTGTTAGATACCATCGCGACAAGTCCCCTTGGCAAACAATCAGGTTGCAGAGTAGCGTAGGAATGGGTGCGACTCTAGGGTGGTGAGATAGAGGGGAACGAGGGATAAACATGCTTGGGGTTCATTTATCGTGTATGCCATGTACCTCTCAACATGGATACAGTAAGTAAGGACACACACAATCAGAGTTTCGAAAACTCTTTTTTCCCTTCACCAAGAACCGTAAGTAGTTTATCAGATCACTTTGCCCAATTAAATCAAGCCATCCGGCCCGCTTGTGCCTCTTGGCAGCATGGAGCAATATATCCAAACAGGGAATGGTTCACCGGACGTGGATGTCTGCCATTGTCTGGGTGGCACATAGCTGACAATGGTTGGCAAAGATTGTTGGCTGATGGCTGGATGGGCTGTCGTTTAACTGATGTGATTGATAAGATTAGATGCATCCTCAAGATCCGCAGCGCTAGGTACTTTTTACCTTGCCTCACCTTGAATCCACAACTTACTCTCCGTCTCCTCCAGTCTTCTTCTCCTCTTCTGCCCACCCCTGGTTTGGTTCTGGTCTGGGTCCTCCTCCGTTCTCCGCTTCAAAAGGCCGCCCGTCGGTTGTTAACCCTAATTAGCCCGGACGCAGCATGGGTGGACATGGATGAATCCTCGCAGAACGTTGACTCTGTCCGACCTCGCCCGCAGAAAGAGAACGAGAGACCCCAACAAGGATCGCGATTCATCCCACCACTCACGCAGCTCGCGCAAGGAATAAACGCCTCCTCACGCCACGGACAGTCATATCCCACAGGGCCGCCCAGCCATTTCTCCCAACTCCACACCTCCCCGATCCCCCAATCACGAAGACTGCTCAAGGTGACTGGTCCTTGACTCCCAAGACCACATAGACGAGCCCGTCGACGATATCGGTGAGGCACAGGCGCGCCGCACCTATGGATAGGCACTAGAAGACTAATAAATAAAACGGTTGCCACGGATCAGACAGCCCTTTTTGGGAAGGCCGATTTGTGACGTTCGCTCCTCTCTCGGCCAAACCGCATGTTTTCAGCCCTTTGCATCAGCCATCAGGTCACCCGTTGCTGGGATTTCCGACTTCCGGGAGGAACTCGCTCTCGGACTAACGAGAGGGCATTGCGGATGAGCGAGCAAGCTATCAAAACCATCAATCAGCCTTCTCTGGAGTAAACCCACTTTACCGGACGGCGAGAACAATAGAGCAGCCGGGCAATGGCCGACGCCATCCGCTTCAGTCCATTCTTCCCTCCATGATCCATTTCTCCCCGCCAAGATCCTCCTCTCTGCTCTTCGCACATACTTCGGGGCTCTAGATTCCTTCTGACTCCCATGTTCCATATCCCCCGTCTCCGAGCCTCCACCCCTCCTTCTCGATAACCTCTTAGTCAAAGGGGCCAAGACCCAAGGGTCGCATCCGTACCATGTATGTACACTTAGAGTTGCGTTGGTTCGGCGGGGTACTCTCCTCCCAGGCTCCTCTCTCCTCCAGTCATTGCCTCCTCCTCTCGACCTCCACTTGAGCTGCAGTTGCCCATGCCATGCCAACAACCACGCATGACAAGGATCTTTTGCCTTGTCTTTACCTTTGGTACGAGCTTTTTTCTCTTCGGCATCCCGCAAATTACACTATAAGCGCGTTGGGTTTACTTCGGCGATCCGGGGCAAATCCGAGCTTCCACGATCGGATACTTGCTCTTCTCCCACTGGGCTCTACTAGCTGTCCCGACTCCCATGGAGTCTATACGAATAGTCCCGCGCTCTTGCAAGTCCCGCGCGCGCTGCCCTGCTCCGCGGACCGTTGACTACCTGTGTGCTGCCTTATGCCATTGCCTTGCTTTGCTTTGCCTTGCCTTGACATATCCTGCTCAGATCCCGTCGTATTAACCCCCCCTTACACGCCCATGGCTTTCTACCCTGGATTAGGTCTTCCAGCTGATGGAGACTATCATCGGCCAAGCTGGACCACGGAAGAGGCCGACATGAGTATCCATTCCCTGGGGTTTCCACATTCACAGGCCGGGAAAGCCTAGACTGACTTGACGCATGCATCCTCTCCGGCTCACCTGTGCCTGTTCCTGTACCTGATTTCCCGTACCTGACTTGCCCCTATTACTTCGTACTTGATGTGGACAAACGACAAAGCCATCATAATCTATAATAACCTCTTTCGCCAACCTGCTTTCATCTCGTTCCCACTCCCCTCTTTCCTCCTCACGCTCGCTTTCCCCAACCAACAACTTGACTGCCATTAAGACAATTCTCCTCCCCTTCCAGTCTTCCTTCCACAAAGCATCTTCAAGTCCTTCCAACTTACCCTAATACCAACCTTCAAGATGCGTTCATTCGTTACCTGCACCGTCCTGGCCACCGTCGCCTCCATGGCCGTCGCCCAGGTCCACCCTCGCTTCGAGTACCCCGAGTCCGTTCCCGCCGTCGAGAAGCGCCAGGAGCCCGGTACTCCCCGCTACCAGTGCCACGAGGACTGCGGTAAGTCCATGCTTTCTTCCATTCCCTCTCTCAGTAGGAGTACGTGACCCAGAAGACTGATTACCCCAAACAGGTCTCCTCATCACCCTCGGCCGCGAGGACGGCTTCTGCACCAACTCGGAGTGGAACGAGCGCTACGGCCGCTGCATGACCTGCGCAAACACCTACTCCATCTGGATGTACTACTCCTCCGGCGTCACCTCCGCCGCCGCAAAGTGCGGCCTCTCCCCGACCCCCAGCCCCTCCGGAGGCGCCGTCGAGACCACCGCCGCTGCCACCACCGCCGCGCCCGCCCCGGCTACCACCACTGCGGCTCCCGCTCCCGCTCCTACCACCGAGTCCTCCGCCGCCGCGCCCCCGGCTGCGTCCACCTCTGTCGCCGCTGAGTCCTCGGCCCCTGCTGCCTCTACTTCCGCCGCCGGTGCTCCCGCCACCACCCTCTCCACCGCTGCCTCTGGCTCCGCTTCCGCTTCTACTTCCGCCTCCGGCGCCGCCACTACCTCTGGCGCCGCTGCCGGTACCTCCGCGGCTACCGTCACCCGCGTCACTTCCATCGGAACCTCTGTCGTTATTGTATGTGTCGCCTGGGCCTGGTCTATGATGTAGACACTTCTTTCAGCGGGATGATTTATGTTAACGTGGTCTCTTTTTCTTTCCTTGTAGCCTTCCGGAACTGCCACCCCCAGCACCCCCGTCTTCGCCGGTGCCGGCAAGAACGCCGCTGCCATGGGTCTCGCCGCCGTCGGCCTGGCCCTTGCTGCCTTCTAAGGAGTATAACATCCTTGGGAACGATTTGATGGAAACACAGCTTTTTTGAGAGGAAAATGTACATAGGCGAAGGATGCCACCACAAACTTTAATATTCACCGGAGAAATGGTCATGTTTATGGATGTATGATAGCGAAGATTTTGTTATTATACGATTGGAGATAGTACACTACAGCCTAATGAGTCTCCATTACACGAATGTGCTGCTGTGGTGTGTTGAGTGGATGACCTTTTGGCTGATATTTGGGCGTGGATCCCCCATGGATGCAATGTCACTATAAAGCGCCTATAAAGCGTTTCATGTCTAAGATCAGGGGGCACATAGGGCCAGATCAGGCGAAGGAGACAGACGTTGACTCCAGCTTCAGATGAAGGCTCACGTTGAGGCATGACTATGTTCAAATTGATGATTGTAAACTCAAATTCATTTCTTCATATATGGCGGTGTACATGTATGTTTGTTCATGTATGACAGGTATATATATGCATGTGAACATAATTTTGTTCGCTCAGATGACGTTTACTCATCTCGGTTTCCCGCATCGGAACCAGAATCCTCAACGCTCGACTGCTTATCAGATTCCAAAACACCGTACCTAGTCTCAACGTTAGCACACATTCCAACCAAGGAAGAGTTCTCATCGTAGGGGAAAAGACATACCATGAAATAACAGCCAAACCCATAAACGCAGCCACGCAGCTGAAGAACATGGCAACGTAACCCTTGGGCGTGAACCCCTCAGGCAAAGGTCCCACAGGCCTATTCTCGCCCGTAAGATCCAGCACATCCTTGATGTTACCTGCCGCGTTACCCTTAGTCGGCACCCCAGCGGCGCGGCACACCTCAAGATGATCCCTGGGCAAATCCAGCCCCTGAAGGACATCAGGCGCCTCGATAATGGTCGCAATGAGCCCCTGGTCCATATGCCACTCGATGTGGCAGTGGAACAGCCACACGCCCGGGTTATTCGCCTTGAAGCGGATGACGAAGTTGCCGTTGCCCTCGACGATGAGGGTGTCGCGGCGGACCGGGTAGCGGGGGAAGCCGGCGACGTCCGTGGAGGAGTTGGAGAATGCGCCGGCGTCTTCCTCGGAGCGGTGGACGACCTGGAACTGGTGGCCGTGGAGGTGGAAGGGGTGCTTGCCGTCGTCTTCGTTGTTGAGGACGATTTGGATGATTTCGTTGTGCTTGAGGACGTGGGCGATGGAGTTTGTGCCGTAGACTTGGGGGTTCGCCGCGTTGTCGGCGCCGACGGTGAGGGCGCTGTAGAGGGAGGGGACCTTGGGAAGGACGTAGGTTTTGTCGTTGAAGAAGGCGCTAAGGTGATGTTAGCTGTGGTCTTTTGCATGGAAATGTCGTGGACCTACTAGTTTGCGCCGTCGGCGAGGTTGTCCATCTTGACGGAGAGCTCAAAGGAATAGTCCACCTTGTCGTAAATCTCCTGCTTGTCAAAGGGAACCAGTTCAAAGTCGTCAAAGGGGTCAAACTCGTCCACGGTCGCGGGCTCAGGCAGGGGCTTCTTGTCGTCGTAGACGAGCCAGCCCGTGACATTCGAGTCCTGGCCGTCGGGGATAACATCAAAGAGCTCCTCGTCCATGGAGCCCACAATGGCAAAGTTCTCCGAGGCGTCCTTCTTGGTGGTCAGGAGAACGCTGTAGCGCTGGGCGGGAGCGATGTAGAGCATCTCGGCCTCGGCCTCTTCGGTCCAGACGCCGTCGACCTCGACGACGCGCAGGGTGTGGCCCTCAAACCAAATATACTGGGAGGCAAAGGCGCCGATGTTGACCATGCGGATCAGGTAGGTCTTGCCCGGCTGGACCTTGACCTGGAGGTTCTGGGTGTCGTTGAGGAGGGCGGCGTTGGGGACGGGCTCGGCGCCGGTGGGGTTCTCGACGCTTATGAGCTCCTTGATGAGGGTGCGGGTGGACTGGTGGTACCAGTCGGACAGGGTGAGGACGAGCTCCTCGTCGTACTTGCCCTCGTAAGGGCCCTTGGGGTCGTGAATCAGGAGAGGGCCGCGGAGACCCTCGGGGTAGGTTCCGTCGTTGTGGGCGTGGTACCAGTAGATGCCAACTTGATCAAACTGTGGACGGCATGAGTATAGGCTTGCGTGAGAGTCTATAGGAAGAGCTTACCTTGAAATCATATGTGAATGAGGAACCAGGGGGAATGGCGCACTGGGTGACGCCGACGGCGCCATCCATGTGGTTGGTGCCATTCTGGAATAGGCCGTGGAAGTGAAGACTGGTGCTCGCGTTGCCGAGGTGGTTGTGGACGGTGAGAACGAGCCTGTCGCCCTTTGTTGCCTCGATGAGAGGCAGAGGCCACTGGCCGTTTACGCCAATAGTTGGTTTATCAAAGGCGCCGTCGGGGTTGGAGAGAACCCATCCAATGTTCCAGTCGAGCTCGATGGTCTTTGCCAGAGCGGTTGATATGAGAAGCGTGAGGGCGGCGACTCGGGCCAAGAGGGCCGATGTTGAGGATGAGAAGGCCATGATGGCCGGGGTTGCTTCCGGCGTGGTAGTGCGACCTTACTTAGTGTACTTATTTGGTGGTGGTGGTGGTTGGGGTGGTGCCCTTTTGACGCGGCGCAAAATGCCCTCACAACACTCAGCTCAACACTCGACACGAATTGAGCCTATGCTGCTTCACTTTGGTTGATATGCAGTCTCGCACGGGCGTCCAGATGCGCGAGAGGTGGTCGTGATTCATAGACTCGTTGGAAAAATCCCACAAAAAAAGCTTCTACGAACCGGGCCGAGCGCGGAGGAACATTGGACGTCCGAGACTTTTTGACAGCGGGCGGCGGCAATCGAGGGAGGGGTGGGCAGCTGTACTCCGCAGTATAACTGTACGGAATACACCAGACGCGAGGGCTCGGAGAAAAGAGCAAGTGGAAGCGAGGAGGAGAAACTCGCAGGCGAGGAGGGGAGTGAAAGATGAGTTATTACTTGACTGCGTGGTTGGGGGAGTGAGTGTGAGGACTGAAGTGAGAGTGAGAGTGAGAATGAGAATGAAAGTGAGACACATGTGAAAAAGGGTCGTGTCGCCTGATTGAAAATTGCACAAACGAATGAATTGAAATCTTGGCGATCTGATAAGGAAAAGCCGCCGTTGCCTGCCCGGTCCTTCCCTGAAGAGTATCCGCTATTTGGTGGGGGGACTGCCTGAAGAGTGCCGCCGGTGGGCGGATCGAAGGGGAGGTACTCCGTTCTGGGGGGGGTTTATCTGATCCTGAGGATCGAACACGACCATCACAGCAGTGTTACAGCGTGGTGTCCCCTGGATGGAGCCTGTCAGAGATGCGCCAGCACTGACGCCAGCGCACCCGTTCCCATGGCCAGGTGGCTCAGTCAGCAGGCAAAACCCCCCGAGGACCCCTGCCCCACTCACATCACCGCACTCTTTGTCCCAAAAGAACCTGAAGGATCCAACCTAGAAAACCTAAGACTCGGCTTTACGACGCCAGCCGAGATCGCTGGCGCGATAGACGACGGTGAAAATCGGCGGGGAACAAACTGGCAGAAGAAAAACTCGGAATCCGCACTCTCACGCGACACCATCACCTCGGCGCCCCGAAGCCACCACTTCCTCTCTCTCCCCGTCTCATTGATCCTTCGCCTAAGCCCCCGCGTGCCCGTCCTATGTGCGTGCCATTGCTGGGTATTGCCAGTGTCAGCCATATCTGATTCTTTCTCGGCAGAGCCGCTTAATCCTGCCTCAAATTCATTCTCGGTCACGTCCCCTCATCCCACCTCATCGTTGCCCGATATTCAACACCACCACCGTCACCACATAGTGCGGCTCTCAATCCTGTAATGCCCTTCAGACGTGAAGCAACGCTATAATCTCGTCGCCGTCTCCCCTTCCACTGGAGACCTTTCATCCTGCTTCCATATAGTCAAGCGCTGCAGCCGCATCCTAAGCGCAGCCGCGCCTGATTTTCACTCAGCCATTATCTCTCATCTCATTCCATACCAAGCCGCCACTCATCTCCAACTCACACACACCCTCATACAACGAGCACATCACAACCGCGCAAACTCACAATGGAGGACCTATTCTCACTTCCCAGTATGTAACCTCTTACGTCCATCATACTCACCATCACCCACTCACAAACACGCAGTCTTCTTCATCACCTTCCGCGAGTCTCTCGAAACCGCCATCATCGTCTCCGTCCTCCTCGCCTTCATCAAGCGCACCCTCGCCACCAAAGATGACCCCGTCCTCCACCAAAAGATGGTAAAACAGGTCTGGCTCGGCACCGCCGCCGGCCTCGTCACCTGCGTCGTTATCGCCATGGCCATCATCAGCGGCATCCACTCCCTCGGCGCGGAACAATTCGCTGCCGCAGAGAGCATCTGGGAGGGCATCTTCTCCCTCGGCGCCTCCCTCATCATCACCGCCATGGGCGCCGTCCTCCTGCGCGTCACCAAGCTGCAGGATAAGTGGCGCGTGAAGCTGAGCAAGGCCCTGAACGCGAGCGAGTCCCACTCGGGGCCTTTCCGCGACCGCTTGAAGTACCTCGGCGAGAAGTACGCCCTGTTCTTGTTGCCGTTTATCACTGTCCTGCGTGAGGGATTTGAGGGCGTGCTCTTCATTGCTGGTGTTGGCGTCAGTGAGACGGCTGCATCCATTGCCATTTCGTCTATTCTCGGCCTTGCGCTCGGTGCCTTTGTTGGCTACTTTATCTACAAGTGAGTTCATCGTGGTGAATCTTGACGTTGCCACACGCAACACCTACTGACTGCCTGTCTCAAAAGGGGTTCCAAGACGGCGCCGATCCAAATCTTCCTCATCGTCTCAACCTGCTTCTTGTACCTCATCGCCGCCGGTCTCTTCTCCAAGGGTGTCTGGCACTTTGAGCAGAACGAGGTGAGCAGCCCCCCTATCCCCAACCGCAGTCCCAGGCTTCAATACTAACGCAAACCTCAAAGTGGAATAAAATCGTCGGAGGTGACGCAGCAGAACTCGGCTCCGGTCCCGGCTCCTACGACGTCCGCAGAAGCGTCTGGCACGTCAACGTAAGACCCCCTTACCTCCCCAACCATCGCCACCAACATGTTCCATCCTGACCACGACCCGCAGTGCTGCAACCCCGACCTCAACGGCGGCGGCTTCTGGGGCATCTTCAACGCCGTTCTCGGCTGGCAGAACTCGGCCACTGTCGGCTCCGTCGTCTCCTACAACCTCTACTGGGTCGCCGTCGCCGCGGGCTTCTTCGCCATGATTTGCAACGAGAAGGGCTACTGGCCGTTCGCCGGCAGCAAGGCCAAGAAGCTCGCCGACGAACACGAGGGCGACGACCAGGAGCCGCTTCTCAGCCGGCCCGCTCGGTAAGTTTTCCGATTCGATTCGGCCCTCCGTTGGTGGAGAAACGCACGCAACGCGATACCAGCGGACATCGAAAGAGGAGATATGCTCCCAAAGGCGACTTGGTACTTTGGATCATGTACAAAGTGGTGAAGCTCCGAAAGCGCCTGATTTAAGAAAAACCGGAGAAGATAGTTGTTTATCATTGCTATATATTGTATATACGACCACCTATGTATCCAAATCTGCAAATATTGATCGCTTGGCCCTGACCTAACGTTTTCTCTGTAGACTACTTTCATTTGGGTTAGATGCGTCTTCCAGTTTAGCAAACAGACCCAAGCTGGCCTGATGCGCAGTGCTTTCCACCGCTTGAAGCCACGTATTTTCCGACAATAGAATCATAGATGGTGGGGAATCGTGAAGAGCAATGTAATGATAGCGCTGTGATTTTCTTATTGTCTTTCTTCTTTGTTCCTCCTGTCCTTGGCTCAACTACTTGACAAACAGGTGCCAGATTCAGGACCCAATATTGTAAAATCGTTTGTAATTCCCGCGTCGTCTTTCGTGTATCATTAATGTATCACCATATTTTGTAGGTCACTCGGCCAGACAATCTCTTTCACTGTAGAACCCTGTTGCCTCAGCTAGAGTAATAAAACTTCTGGTTCGCAGGCGTATTATAAATAGCCCTCCTCAGAGGATTCTCAAACAACCCCCGGATCGCATCGATGTCATAACCGGCATTGATGGCAAGCTGCAGCATGATGCGCGCCTGTTCGCCGCCGAGGTAACTCGAGTAGATCCTAATTGTCACCGGCGTCAGCGACCACCGAGGGCGTTTTTGGATGCTGAGGAAGGGGAGCAACCGCAGGTTTGGCTACTAAACTGGGAGAAGTGAGGATACTACGTACAGCGGCCCGGGTAAGGGACTAGGGACGCCGGTGCCAGTGACGGGTCGCGCGACGGCGATGGTGGGTATGCCCCGCTGCTCAAGCAGATCCGCGGCCGCGGCTCGGGCGCTGGGACTCACGGCTGCCGCGCCGGGCCCGAGAATCACTAAGCCTCTGGTGACGTAACGTCAGCTTTATTTTTCTCCTCGGTGTCGACCATTGGGCTTGTTCGGCAAACCCAGGACGGAACTCACTTTGCGCCGTTGGCGACGGCAGCGTACATCAATGAAGCGTCAAATCCCTCTACAAGACTCCAGCGTCAATTTCTTTCCCACATCCCAAACCCCCATCCCCGTGCGTGGGAACATATTGGGCAAACTGGCGTGTGAAAGAGAACTCACGATGACCGTAAACAATAATCACAGAAGGCAACTCCGTCACCCCCGTGACATCAAAATAAGGCCGCCCTGTCGGATACGCCGCGTCGAAGAAGTAATACGGCTGCCCTGCGAGAAAGGCCCCGAGGTTGCCCTGCTCGAGAGCCTTAAATGTGTCTGGTGTGTTTGCGTTGACTTTGGTGGAGTAGTAGATTGAGGTGATTCTGTTTCAGATGTTTTGGTCAGTTGAAATTGCTTTCCCTTCAGTCTTATTCTTTGCTCCTCTGCCTCTTTCGGCTGATCAGGGGCTATGGGCTGGGTGTGATGGAAACATTGTGAGAAAACTTACCTGTCGTTGAAGGCGATCAGGCCCCCTCGATCGCGCGAAGAAGGCGAAGCAGCAGCCGCAACAGCCTGATAGAAATTCGCGTGCCCATCAGGAGAAACATACGTATCAGGCCTCATGGATCCCGTCGCAACGAACGGCTTGGAGCAATTAAACGTCAAATCCACGCCAAAAGCCTAGGTCCTCTCATCAGCCAACGCTCATCAACACCCTTGCCCAAACTCTCGCACATGGAGGCACATACTGTCTCCTCCAGCGTGTTCGTTCCATGGAACATAATCGCACCAGCGACGTCACTCCCCTCGGCACACACCTGTGCGTTAGCAAGCTGGCTGATATTCAAATACAGCGACGAATTCAACCCTGCGCTGCCGCCGGGGGCATCGAGTTCCACGACAGCGAGCTGCGCGACCTCGAGGACCTCGGAGACGTTTCCGATGAGGTCGTAGGGCGTTGGAGAGACGCCGGCGCCGTAGGCGATGTTGTCTAGGCGGCTGTAGTTTGAGGCGGAGAGGATTGTGCCGCCTGCGCTGTAGATTCTGTGTGGGTAGGGTGTTAGTGGGGTGTTGATGATGGTGCTTTTGCGAGTGGTTACCAGGGTGGTGGAAGACGCACATTACTTTTGGGAGGAAGGTATCTGTTGATATCCAGTCTAGGTCCCATGCATTTGTCGATGGAGACCTGGTGATTGGGGAGGCGGACGTGACCGTGGCCAAGGTCAGGGCCGTGGCGAGGAAGTTGGTGAGCATCGCTACCACGAGGATTAGGCCGGGTCACGACAGCTGCTTTTCAAGTTGAATGGTGCTCGAGAAAATGAGTTGCTTCACGATCGTTGGTGAGTTGATAGCTACTTTATATCTCCCTGAGCCAAGTCGATGCGTGGCTCTGCATCCGCTCCATAACTGCGCGTTTTCTGGTGCAGGATCCTCTGTGCAGCATGCCATATTCCAAGCGATTGGTCATCTGGATCTTTGGGATCCGGAAATCGCCAATAACAAGCTAAGTACACGACAAGAACGAATAAGGTCTATCAATGAACCCATGGTCTTATCTCGGCTCCAGTCGCCGACGGCCGGCTCGCCGGTGCCTGGATCACCGGGGAGGGCTTGGCAGATAGGCTGATATTTATCACGAACCAGAGTTTCTTTCCTAGTGTACCTCCTCTTCTCGCTAATACACATGTAGTCAGAGTAACGCATGGGCGATTATTTACTGGTATCAATACCCATGCCGGGAGCATCAGCCGGCTGCAGATATGCTTATCCCGGAAGAGCGTCGGGCGCCGTCCGGGTGGCGTCATGTTGCGGGGTAGCGCGGGGTCCTGACAGCGGGGGGCACCAGACGCCTGGATCGCGCGGGAAAGCTCCAAAGGCCGGGGGTTCACGGCTCGGGTTTGCATCTTCTTCAAATTTTCTTTCGCGTAGAACCGATACGTCTTCTAATTTCTCTCGCTGGTGCTCATACAGAGTTGTTCTTTTCTCGTTGACACAAGCGGCCGTGAGGATATAGAAAGGAAACCCATGTTCAACCTGCAGCTGCACCAGACAGGTAGGTTGCTCATCAACATGGCGCGAACACCACTCATAGTTTGCTGACATCTAAGAGATCACTTAGAATTTTTAACAACTATCATTTAGTCACAACGGATCTGCTATTCGCTAGAATCAAGTACAAGCTAATACTCAAATCCAAACGACGCTTCAAAACATGAATCATACCTTGGTAACCGGCCCATCGGACAATTCCAACTCATAACCAACCCAGGCCGCCGTTACGCAGTACCGCTCTTCTTCTTCTCAGCTTCGCTCGCACCTCCAAAACCCAGCGCTTTGTTCAGGAGAGTGTCCACGGTGGATGATAATTCTCCCTTTGGCTTGCCATTGCTACGAGTACCACCGGCGCTTTCGCCGCTGCTTCGATTCGTCCCTCCCGAGCTATTCGTGTCTTTGGTCTCTTCGGACAGGTTCCTATTCAATCTTATCACCATTTGTCAGCATAAAAAGCTCACACGCTATTCTTCTTCCCTATTTTCCCCTCTCGGAAGGCTGATTTACTGTGTATCGTTCTGATGATTCATCTTCGCGGCTAGTGCTGCTTGTGTTGGTGGCGGTGCTTGTGTGACAGCGGGTGATGATTGCTTCACAGCAGGAGTACGAGATTTTCCACCAGCCCACGGATCGGTTTGGATGAGATTGGCTAGGGAGTCGGGCATCTTAATGCTCACTGCCTTCATGAAAAGCGTATCCATTGTGACGTAGGTATACTGAAATGTTTCGACAGCTTCTTGATATTCGTGACGAGTGGCGGAATAACTGGGCACGGGTCCCGTAACTACGTAACATCGTCACAAACAATCATGCCCGGGCCATCATCCCTTTTTAAACTCACCGTGAGAATATTAAATGATTGTACGTCATTCAGGATCCGATGTACGCTGATCCGACAATGGCACCACCATCGGGCTGAGAACAGGGATATATAGAGTATCGGACTGTCTGGGGATTTTGGATGAGCCAGGGATATCGCAGCTGCGCTTGGTCACGCGCCGTATCATCAACGTGAGCTGTCAACTATATCCTTATCTCGCAGATAATCTCTCCACAAGAGTCCGTAAGACTCAGCCATCTTTGGAAGATCGCATGCCCCGTCGTGGCCTTCGTTCTGCAACATGAAGTTCGACTCTTCATCAAGACGCTGGATCGTCGTTATCTCCCTTTCCCCCTTTATACTCGTAAATGAGACAACCGACTTTCTTCCTTCCACCGACACCGCCGTTGCCTTTACCTACATGTCAGAGAATAAGGGCGTCAGCATATGTTATAATCCGTAACCCCAAGTCGGATAGACTTGCAAACAATCTTGGCAACCCCCCCAAATCGAACAATACCATGAAAATCGGTGGTGGTGCTTAAAAATAGAAAAAAACTCACACTCATAATGCGTAGACCCAATGATCTCATAACACCCCGGCGTCCACACGGGACCCCCCTCCTCCCCCAACGGGCGCCGCACGCTCTGTTTCCCGACGGTGACCCTGCAGCCCGCCTCCCACCAAACTCTAAAGTCGTGGTTGACGCCGTGCCAGTCCCGGTAGCGCCAGCTCGCGTTGCGGGCCAGGCGGCCGTCGCCGTCGTGGTAGGCGGGGTTCGACGGGTCGTCGGTCGCGTCGAGGACCTGCGTCGTGGCGTAGCGCTGTTGGCAGAACTTGTAGACGCCGAAATTGTAGACGCCTTCGAAGAACAATTTGGGTTCGATGTCGGCGTGCCCGCGGAAGTCGGCTTCGTCGTGGCATTGGACTGGGTGCATTTCGGGTTCGCGAACGGGGGTGAAGTAGGATCGTGGGGAGATGTCGGGGTGGGAGGTGTGGTTGGTGATGGGGACTGGGTTGGCTGTGAGGCTCGTGTTCAAGGTATGAGCGAGAAAAAGGTAAAGACTGATGGAAGGCATGGTTTATGCGGCGCTCAAAAGAATGATGTAGGTTGTTAACACATGTGAGGTAGAAACTACAGTTTGGGAAACCGAAGAGCTCTTGATGTTGGTCTTCGTTGCTGTACATTGCACTTTGTGCTTTATGTGAGGGTAGAAGCAGACCATCTTGAGATTGATGGAAGAAGTTGCGTTCTTGAATTGAAGGGAGCGTATGGCTCATCGAAAGAGCTCGTGATACGAATCCATCGTGCCTCGTGGTACATATACATACATTGAATGACCATTTGATGAAGCACAAGAGCCGCTCGCGATATCCTACACAAGTCCCAATCCGGTAACGATAGAGGGCCCTTGAAAGAATCAGCGAATAGAGCCAAGGCTGTCTGCTGAAGTACGGACCAGTCTCATTGTTCTCGGTTACTTGACGTGCTCGCCCTTTTGTATCACCAGATGTTTCCCATACCACTCTCTTGTATGAGGTGCAATGCTGACCGAAGCGGATTGATAAGTGAGATGCTCTGGAAGTGAAAGCCAAATGCCAACACGGACTCGAATGCGGCTTCCCCTCCATTCTTGGTGCATCTGCTCAGTTCTTCTCACTTCTTTGCATCATGACAACACCCATCGAGTTTGCGGCGCCTCCAGCTTGGTGAAAACGCCATTACTTGATACGATGTCCCTCGCCAAACTTACCTGCCAGTAAGTCGCATCATGAAGTGCGCTGCCTGCAATCCAGCAATCATACAATCGTCAGACTGCACAGTATGCGTGGCAATTCACTGTCCAAGGTGGCATGTGCTGAACTCTCATCTTCCACGTATCGCCTCTCAGGCGGGGGTCGTCTCATCTTTGCTGATGATGCACCCCTAAACGTCATCTTGTGAGCTTTATTCTCGTCTCATAATCACAGCGACTCATCATGGGAGCTATGATTCTGCAGTGAAAAGGTCGCTGGACACGTGGAAAAAGTGTCCTACGATGACCGAATCACCTTAGGTAATTGGAAAAGAGAATTGTAAGCTGGCTATTACCTCGGCCATCGACGACATGAAGTTGAAGTAAGATGCATCTCCGCGGAGGGAGCGACCGTGTTAGTCAGCTTGCGGCTATGTTCGCACAAATACTTGCCTGAGTCCAATTCATCATCATCAATCCTGTTCTTCTACTCTGAAAACAAGATAATCACTTGCATCAGGCAATGCCAAATGATGATAACTTAAAGCAAACCCCATCAGACCCGTGATAAAGGATTTAGTATAATCCTAAGGCTTCTATGAAGTTGCGCAACTGTTGTCCAACTAACAACCAAAAGACAACTCATTTTACTAGTTCGGAAGAGATTGTGGGGGACGGGAAGATCCCCGGTACTCCCGCCGCATTTCCGACAAAGCTGGCTCAATATCCCGGCAACTCATCGGCATCCTGGTTGGCTCGCCGTGCGGTTCCGGTCCAAAGGGCGCCCAAGGGCGCGTGAAATTTGCTGCTTAGATTGAATAAGTCAATCACCGAGCGTTGCCAATTGTAGTTCTTAATGACTAATTGTCAAGTTTCAACTTCTTACTGCCGCCTCTAAGTAGTAGTTTCGCGGGGCGCTGCTATTTATTTAGCCTTACCATACACACCGCCTAACCTCGGCAAGGACTGAGAGACGAACTAGGAACTTTTGCCCATGAGTCAAAGGAGAAAAGGGATTTTAGTTCTAAGCGCGAAAGCGCGAGGAAACTGGTTCAAACAGAGTCTTTAAGCTGCGCGCTCCCCGCCATGACTAGCATACGGGAATGAAAAACCGCTTATTCCCAGGACACAACACACGATCAATGCCCATCCAGGTCTATGACGCCACCCTCTCGACAGCAGAACGCATGTCGCCCAACAACAGACTGTTATAATGGATAGCAGCATAGAAAAGGAGACGAGGTCCGACTCGTCGCGGAATGAAGGTGGTCTCGTAGAAGAAGAGACGCACCGGACGGGGAGCCGCGTCGGGCGCGTGCTGAGCCGCATCGCGTCAGCGCCCACTGCGGATCCCGGGCCGCCGCCTGACGGGGGATACAATGCTTGGATGGCCGGTAAGAGTGAGATACTGCCTTTGCTGAAGGAGTGGAGCTGACGGGTGGTTATCATAGTACTGAGCGCGCACTTCATCTTTATGGATACATGGTGAGTGAGACAACAGCGCAACGGGATCTTCAAGGTGAAGTGGCTGACATGACGGGTAATGTAGGGGCTTCGTGAACTCTTTCGGCGTCTTTCAGACATATTACGTCCAGCAGCTGAAGAGACCACCATCAGACATCTCATGGATCGGATCCTTCCAAGTCTTCCTGCTCTTCTTCATTGGCGCATTTTCAGGCCGTTTCACTGACGCAGGGTACTTTCGCCATCTCTATTTCTCCGGCTGTTTCCTCATCCTACTCGGCATCTTCGCGACGTCGTGGTGCACACAGTACTGGCAGATCTTCCTCTCGCACGGCGTCTGCGTAGGTTTGGGCTTCGGGCTGGTGTTTTGCCCGTCCCTGGCGACGCTGTCAACTTACTTTGACAAGAGAAGGGCCATCGCCATCGGCATGGCGGCCGTGGGAAGCGCGTCCGGCGGCTTGGTGTTCCCGAGTACGGTTCGACAGTTGCTGCCGCAGGTCGGGTTCCCATGGGCAATGCGCACGCTTGGTTTTATCCAGCTTGCGACGCTGACTGTTGGGTTCATCTTTCTAAAGCCGCGCATACCACCGCGCAAAGCGAGCAAAATGGTGGATTTGGCGTCGTTCAAGGAGCTGGAGTATACTTTCTACACTGCCGGGGGATTCTTTGTAAGTCACCTTTCGCCTGTCGAATCTGGACGTCGCGCGCTGACTCGAACATGTCAAGTCCTTCATGGGGGTATACTTTGCCTTTTACTACCTAGCCTCCTTCAGTCGAGACGAGCTCGACTTCTCGTACACAGACTCGCTGAATCTCTTGCTGGTTCTGAATGGCATCGGCTTCATCGGCCGTCTAGGCCCAAACTTCCTCGCCGACAAGATTGGCACAATCACCGTCTTCACACCCATGGCTCTGATCTCGGGACTCTTGACCTACTGCTGGATTGCGGTCAAGTCCCCATCGGGACTCTACGTCTGGACCATCTTCTTCGGCATCGCGGGCAACGCCATTCAGGCCCTCTTCCCGGCTGGCGTCAGTGCCTTGACGACGGATCCCAGCAAGCAAGGGACGCGCATCGGAATGGTCTTTACGATTGTTGCATTTGCGGTGCTCACTGGCAATCCGATCGCCGGTGCCATCATCTCTGCTACCGGCGGCCGATACCTCGGCGCCCAGGCTTTTGCTGGCAGCTGTCTGATGCTGGGGACATGCTTCTTAACTCTGGCGCGAATAGTGAAGACGAAGAAGATTGGCAAAGGCTGGTTTGTCAAGGTCTGAGCTTCCTCATTCGTAATGGTGGAAGGAAGGAGGAAGCTGTACAATATTATGAAAAGCCGAGTGTAGATATCCAAAGCACTTTGCCATACTCCATACTCATTTACGAAATACTGGCAAAGATTCTCACGCAATTTAATTCGTATCAGTTACGACGCCTATTTCTTCGCTAGAATTTCACAGACCGAACCCGAGAGAGGGCACGGCTGACTGATCCCAATTTCCTGGCCTACCTTTTACTTTATAAGCCAACCCGGAGAGTAATCTCTAACAGAGTTGCATTGCAAGCTGACATCACCTTACGATTCAGCGACACGTGATAGAACACTTAGTCGACTTGGCAGGGGCTCAAAAGAAGAAACCCTTTCCGTTTAGGAAACCAGTTAATTGGGCAGCGCTTGGCTCATCCCTTTGACAGGTGTAGATAATACTACATAGTCGTCTTGGGTTGGAGTAGACGCCGTGGTGCCGGTAGCCGCGTTCCCGGCAAAAACAAGGTTCAAGGCCCCGATAGCATTCTTGATAAACATCACGCCACTGTCAATTTGAGACTGAACGAATATTTTAGGGAGGTTACATATAGTGACCAAGCAATAATTAGCCGCTTGGGTCGTGCGGGTGTCAGCTAAACTGCACGTGGCTCACAGGATCGCACGCAAGGTTTGAGATGCCTAGAGAACGATTAGTAGGCTAGATGTGAACTGTATCGTCACCACGAAGTTGTAAAGACCATGATCGGCATCATGATGCATTTTGGTAAGCTTTCCTCCTCACTTGGGAAGATACCCTGCGCAGCTAGACCACACTTTTCGGAGGAATTCAAGCATGTAGATTGCTTCATCTGAATCATTTCATCAACTGCCGAGACCAGATCCGCCCAAGCTTGATGGATTTGTTGAAATCTGACTCGCCAGAGCTCCACCCCGCCATCGTAGACGGACACCGATACCAACAACAACCATGAACAAGAACAGCGCATTTCTTGATTCAAATCAACTGGGAGCCGGACATTTTCTAGCACCTAAGTGGTGCCCGTTGTGACCAAGATCCACGTGCCCGGAGCCGATTCTCTGTTTGTGGAGAGAGCATCATCCACCATGGTCACGTAGCCCAGTTTTGTCATTGCTGACACGACGCCACAGAGGGAGGGATGTTGTCGACTCTTTAGTCTTCTCGCACCCAGTGCGTGGGCCGAAATGTGGCAATGCTAAATTTAACTTTAATGTTGATAGCCGATATAGATTAAAAGTCCCATCTCTGTTCCCACCCCGATTGGCCACGCCAACATCTGGGCTCTAGAGCTGCCCCGTTTGGAACAACGGCGCTCTGGAAGCCTGCAAAGGCGGGTGTCATGCAACGTGGGTGCGTGGTTCGGACCAACTTTTTTTTTGGATGGGTATTCGTTCCTGCTTGAGAAGTGAGAACCTAGCGAATAGTTCACCCGATCCCATTGCATCCCATCTACTTGGAACTGCAGAAGCTTGGTAAGGGTGTATTCTATGGATCTCGTTGCCGGCCTCGACCAATATGCTGCACTCGATAGCCTCCCTCGAAGATGGATAAACGGCTCTAACCGAGAACAACAAGCCTTGAGAACATCGGCT